TACAGAGACTTAATAATCAATTTTATTTATTGCTTTGGTTGTATTTGGTTCAACAGTGGTTTATTCAAGTGCATTTTTGTTAACAAGTCCTTGTTGTGAGACAGACACACTAGTCCTAGTGTAATGAAGTCTGTTTTATTTTTGGTTGTCTTAAACTTCCTGTGTTAAATGTTATTTAGAGCGTAAGATTTATTGATCATTGAGAGGATGCATTTGCATTTTTATTCCATGGTCATTTTATTAGTTGAAATTGGTCTCAAAATTATTATTATTATTATTATATTATCGTTAATCGCAAAAAATTCTTGGTCAATTAATCGTCCAGCAAAATCAGTTATCGTTACAGGCCTAGGTCTAAATGACATAACTGGTACCAAGTTAGAACTAAAACAGGACTTACCAAGGACTTAACCAGAGACCTGAACAGTGACCAAACTGGCAGAGCAGGCCAAAATCTAAAAGTGAAAGTCAACAACAGGTCTAAAATACACAACAAAATGTTACAAAATCAAAAATAACCAAAAACTAATCACAAAAATATCTTTACACAATCGTAAATAGGAGAGATACTATTTTTACTGTGAAGCTGACATCATCAAAATTCCCTGTGGGTGTGATGCTAACTGAAAGCACTGCTCTGTTAGAAGCTGTTACTTAAGTTAGGTTTAATCTAAGATCTGACCAGGAAGAGCTGACTACAACAGGTAAGCTGATTCGTGCTCTTAAAAAAGTCTCTTACACATAAAATTACAGTCACAAGCCAGCTAGTACTAGATAGTTTTTCAATTAGTCACTCTCACCTTTGTGTTGAAAAATCCAACGCCTAAACAGGACCATGAATACTCGTATAGATCATGATCACATGTAGAAAACCCCCGGCATGATGTCCTGGAAAGTATCGATACAAAAATAATTTCTCTAATAAATTATAAAAAAAAAAAAACCCACAGAAACCAAAGTGCCACCGAAAGTTTATGTTAACCAAGTGACACTAAAGGCCACGTCATTTTAGAAGCAGGTTTCTCCGTCTGAATCTGAAGGAAGTATAACCTTTACAAGTGATAATGGTGTAATGAGTTTGCATAAAGGCTATAAAGGGTCATAAAAACATGAGTCAAAACATACACGAGTAAGAGACCAATAGTATTATAAACCTAACTTGGATATTGGAGGGGTGTTCCTTTTGTTTATACCTTCCTTGAGAGAGTGTAGCCTAGAGATATTTGCGTTTTTAGTGTATCGGCCTTAAAGGTGGTATAAAAATTAAAATTACAATATGGTATTAAACTTATATAATAAATCCATTTAGTCAATTATGGGTGTTTTTATTGCTCAGATGTACCTTAAAAAACGTGTATTCTGACTGAGTGTGGTCACCTCTTCACAGATCTCAACTGTAAATTGACATGGTGGCGTCTCCTGCTTGTTTCTATGAAGTTTGATGAAGTCTAATGTCATACTTTGGAGCACTGCAGGCAAAGCAATAACATCTACATAAAAAACAAGGAACTGGCAGGCCCTCTACCAGGAAAGTTGCACCTTTAAGTCACCAACAGAGGCTGATATTTTGTTTGGCTCAACCAGTTGCCTAAATATGCTTGAAGAATATACGCGAAAAGCTTTATTTGAACACCTTTAGTCCAAAGAGGGTACTGCAAAAATGGGACTACACTGGACTCTACACAGTTTACAGCAAAACAAGGTTGTGGATGAGTTCGTACTGAAGTTTAATTAGATAAAATCAGCCCTAAAAATATCAGTCCGAGTTCATCAGCCATTCAAGCTCTACTATAAAAATTATAGAAAAATAAAAGTGAAATTGATCATTCGGGATACTGTGGTTATGACGGCCAAGATTACTCAATACATTCAATAGAAGTCATCTTACTCAGACGTAGTAACTGAAGATAAGCAGTTGAGATTCTACTGGGTGTCATTTTACCTCCTGTCACCCATGTCTTAACTTGTCTGTGTGAACTTTTATCCTGAACTGAAACTAAGCTCGTAATAAACAGCAGTAAATGGTGCTTTCCACAGCAACAATACTACAGTGTCGCCTAAAGATAAGCAACCATTTCAAAACAAAGCTTCAAAACTTTCGAAACTTGATCAATTACTGTAGTAAGTAATAATAATAATAATACTTGAGGCTTGTATAGCGCTTTATGGACACTCAAAAACGCTTTATAAACAAAAAAAAACTGTAGAAGACATAGTAGGGGAATGCCAGATTGAACAGGTGAGATCATCTCTGGACTAGTTAAAGACAATGTTCATGTTACTCTGATATGGCTAATATTGCATCAGCCAAAATACCAAAATTGTTGTTGTGAAGTTATGTAAAACTTAGAATACTGAATATAACTATAATGGATAATAACAAGAATAAGATTTTTTATGTTAGAACTGCAAAAATACTGAATTAAAATACAAGAGCATTAACAAATAGTACACTTTTCCAAACTAATCACTTTTGTGCTTAATATTATTACTGTGTATTCACTCAGTAATGCAATACTTGGACCTCAGCCAACACATTTACAGGGAAGTATCTGCACATTTCTGGTGGATTACAAAAATAATATCATTGGATTATCATTATACGAGAATAACAAAAAAAGATATTAATAGTACTTTTCGTTAACATTGCCACAGGCGCCACACTCGGCCTGTCAGGATAATTACTACATTCAATATGTGGTAGAAGGAACAAACAACTGTGAGGGTAAATATTTATAGTGGGTACTTTTTCTTTGTACTAGTGAAGAAGTTTGAATGAGATTTGAGCTACGGATGTTTTTTTTTTTTTTTTTTTTTTTAAACAACATTCTACATTTAGAGTAGTTTTTTGTGATAATCTTTTGGGATGTTCTGTGTCATAAATTAGTTTAAGTATTATCAGTTCATCTTTATTCCAGACTCATGGTCCATTTTTAAAACAAAGACAGTGACATTATCGTTTAACATATATATTCCATACTACAACATGTGTCTGACTAAATCTATTTTAGAGTCACAAGCACTTGAATTGATAACATGTGCACACCTTATATTGATGCGTTGCAGCTGATGTTATCAACACTCCCAGGGATGCTAACTGGGGGCTCTACTCTGTCTGAAGATCCGCAACTCAAGTTAGACTTTAATCTGACTTTTGCTTTCCCGAATGAGATGACTTGGCTAGAACTACAACAGCTGATCTGATTTGGGCTGTTAAACAACTCCCTCTCAAATAACATTATAGTCACACGCCAGTCAGCATTAGCCAACAGTTTTTCAGTTCGTCACTCTCACCTTTTGTTAAAAATAAAACATCTAAACAGGACCATGAACGCTCATAAAGAACACAAGCTCCTGAAAATGTGTTCTTTAAAACAATATGTTTATTTATTTAGAGTTTTCAGATGATTGAAAACTATACTGGGAGTGTTTCCTAATGTGTGCATTGTGTTACCATGACAACTACTTAACATCCCACCATAGATACAAACATGTACAACACCCCCAGCATGTCACTGCACATTATCAATACTGAAAGTGTGTGAAAGTTGAATGTCTATAGCTGTGTAACTGTTGCCTGTATGTGTTAAGTGTCTGTATGCATCTGAAAATGTTATCTCACTGCTTTTTCTGTTTTTATTTTATTTTTTCCCCTCGGCATCAATAAAGTATCCATCTTTTTAAAGTCTGAATTCAAAATGATTTAATAAATACTTAAACTGTTAAGAAAAAAAAAAAAGCCACACCCCTATTATCTTCCCAGACAATGAGCCAAAGACTATTGTATAGATAGCTTTCAAAACTGTTTCTCATAGGCTCAATGACATTTTTTAAACCATAATTTACCATAGGGCCTTGTATTATAAAAACTGCTTTGAGAGGTCATAGTCCACTCACCATAAACAAAAAACTCAAGCAACAAACTGTAAATCTGCCTGTCTCAAAGGTCCCAGTTGTGTCATCTTTATTCCTCCATAAACAAGTGCTACACCGCTACAGAAATGCTTGTGCAGGTAAGCTATTTAAACCAAGGAATGAGTCAGTGAGAAGATTACTGTCTGCAAAAATATAACCTTTATGATCTATTCTTGTCGCAAAGCATTGTCAGAACCACCTACTGAAATTAAATGTGATCCTGTGTTTTAAAAAGGGATGACATCATGCAAAGGTACACAAGAGAACAAGCTGGAAAGTGTCAGGTAGCTAGCAACATGGCCACAACTCATGAAAACAAACAGAAAAACAATTACTTTAAATTGTAAGACTACAGACAGCTTAGGCTATTTTCACATATTTACTATTTTGATGATTGCTGACGGGCCTAGACTTGCTGTAATACCAAAATCTAATTAATATTGGTATACACAACGTAGTATACAAGTACACAATTTGGTTAAACCTTAGATCGTCAAAATTGGTTAATGATAGTGTTAAAAAATAGCTTAAATATACTTAACATAGAAAATTCCCATAACAAGCTTGTCTTTTAATACTTATTCCCACTGTTAAAACACGATCAACCTAATTATACGAGCCAAACATCTAAATACCAACAAAATATGTAAGTATATTGACAAGTTACAAGTTAATGGTATAAATTTATTTATATTTAGCAAGAAAGCTCCAAAAGACAGGTTCCGATGTAGCCACGTTAGCATCGGGCTGCTAACTCTCACGTCATTGGACAACTTTCCTTTTTTACGGTGCCATTACGTGAACTATTTGGCAATTCAACAAGATCAGGGTCAATACTGCGTCTGTCAATTGTAGATACAGGTTTATTATGTACTTATTAGTATTGGTGAATTGTGTTTTTAAGGGTAATTATGCTGTCGCTTTGCTACCAGCTCCAAAGCTAAACCCGATCGGCATTTCTCTGTAGCTCAACTCAACGCAGGTGGGAAAAACAGCCAGGAACAATACGATCCAAACACAAATTCAACATCAGTAATTGTCGCGTTTGGTAACAGTATTTCGTGCGTATTTCGTGTCTGACTTACTGTACTTTCGCGTGTGTTTCTGCTGGCATCGGCGGCCGCGGCTCTCGTCTTCTGCTTCTCGGCTCTGGCCTTCACTTCCGGTCGGCTGTTTTTCCGGGAACCTCCCCCTGTGTTTGTCAGAAGCGCTTTGACCAATGGAGCCAGACCTGACCGTGGGAGAAAAGCGCTCCCTGTCAATGGATACACGGGGAAATGGCGTCCTCAAGCGGATTTTAGACGTAATAATAAACTGTTAGATTATTGTGTATGAAATGGGCTGGGTTTGGGAATTTTGTTAAGCCTTTTTACTCATTTTAAAGCTCCTATATTACGCAGAATTGACTCTTTTGCTTCAAGCCATGTTATAATTTTGTTGTCATTACAGAGAGTCATCCAACCCATTATTTGTTCAACTTAAAGTGTTGAAAATGCATGATATTGTTGACTTAAATATCCTCAAAGAAATGTATAAAGCAAAGTGCAATGTATGACCTGTAAATATTCAAAGAAAACTACATGTTTGTATTCAAAGGAACCTACATGTTTTAAAAAATCCAGATTCAGTACCAAGGTCATGGAGCGAAGCATTACTGTGAAAGGAGTTAATTTATGGAATAGCCTTGACAAAGATATATAAAAAAAAATCAAGTTCAATGATGGTTTTTAAAAAAAACACATAAAATCCTGTGCAATGTGTATGTGTGAAAAAGAAAACTAAGTTGTTGTGCATGAATAGTAAAGATTTCTGTTTGCAGTTGATTAATAGTTGACTGAATTGAAATGTGCTGTAATGTAATGTATTGTTGCTCCCTCAAAAACAGACCTGGAGGTGTGTTTTGTTTCATTCACACATGTTTGAGTAGGCCTAATCCTTTATTATTACTCTGTCAACATTTCCAAAGCTCATAATGCTGAGCTCCACCTTATGATGACAGCTACATTTATTCTTTAGCTTAGTAGAGATAGGCAATTTCAGAGCTGCAAGTTATCTAAATGTTGTGGAGCACTTCATCTATTACCACATGACATCACAAGGTGGAACAGACTGTTTTCTGTTTGAGAGAAGAACTCAGCCTAAATGTGCAGGATTTGTGTGTTAGGCATGTGTGAATGAAACAAACACAACTCCAGGTATGTTTTTGATGAGGAAACTATAACATACTAGCAGATCAGAAAATAGCGTAATATTGGTCCATTAAAGGTGCATTTTGTAACTTTGCTGCTGTAGGATCCACCCTCCTGTCCTCATGGAAATGTTATTGCTTTGCCAAGAATGTTCCACAGTATGACATTTATTGAATTAGGTGATTTTAATGCTAAAATGACTGGGAAAATATGCATTCTACATTGAGCAAGGTTGTCTCTCCACAGAACTGAACTGTTTGTTCCCATGGAGATAGACACATGTAAAGCGATACTGTAGAATATTCCAGGCAAACAGCATATACACTGGACACAAACCATGATGGACCATCCTCTAGAAAAGTTACACAGTGTTAGTTTAGCTTTTCAACCTCTTGAAAATTGTAGCTGTGATGGAAAAAAAATTTCTTGATCTTCATCTAAATGTTCAGTACTTGTGGTACATTAAAATTAGTATATGTAGGTTGTTTCTTCATGTAAAAGTTAGATAGTTTAGCCAAATAGCCTATATGTAATTTAAAGAAAAATGTATGCATGTCACTTTGGCAAGCCAACTGACACTGACAATAATACTAGAATTTATGAGCAATTAAAAATCCACTTTGTCTATAAGCATATAAAGCCAATCTGAAATTCCATAATCCATAACCATGTAAATACTGCACAGATGCCTATAAACTGTAATTGATATGTATCTCACTTAGGCACTAATGGACACTTTAAACTGCTGCTTTAAACCTTAAGTACGATGCAACATTTATTATGGAGCTGGATGAGAAGGTTCAATCAAAGTTCAGCCAATTTTCAATGTAAATAAATACATTCAAGATACTTCCACTAGGGAGAGCCAGCGAACCACATGAACCAGTGTTGCCAAATATCCATATATATATATATATATATATATATATATATATATATATATATATATATATATATTGATACTTTGCACTGACATCATGCTGGGGGTGTTCTACATGGATCTCTATGGTAGAATGTTACCAGTTACCATGGAGACACAATGCACACATTAACAAACACTGTCAAAAAGTGTTAATATTGTCTGAAAAGTCAAGAAAAAAAATACAAAATGGATTTAAACAGCACATTTTGTGATATATGAGCGTTCACAATGCTGTTTAGGATTTAGATTTTAAACAAAAAGGTGAGTGACTAAGTGAAAAACTGTGCCAGCTAAGTTAGACGAGACTGAAAACTCACCTCTTTTCCCTGGCATTTAGTACTAGCTAGTCAGGTTATCTTGGTGTTTTTATTGTAGTTTTCTTGTTTTCTATATATATGTATTTGTAACTATTTCTTCTATTTTGTTGACTTGTATGTGAAGCACTTTGGTCAGCTGAAGTAGTTTAAATGTGCTATATAAATAAACTTGAATTGAAAAGTTCTTTCTAGTCAGACTGTGCTAAAATAAAGCTCAAATTAAAGTCAGAGCTTCAGACAGAGCAGTGCTTACAGTTAGGGTCACACCCCCGGGAATGTTGATGACATCAGCTGCAAAATATCAACAGACTTATATTATTTTAGTCATATACCGTCTTCATACTTCAATAAAATCAGGGTATGAAATTTCCTATAGGCGTAGTTACCATGACGACAAATATATCTCTTCTGGCTATTTGAGCATTTTACTCTCACTAACCACTTTGGCCCATTGTACTTCAGCACAAGTAAAGTGGTTCAACTTTTACTCCTCTAATAGAACAGATATAAAAAATACAGTTTAAAAGCCATGCATTTAAATGATAATACAATACACTTTAAATAGTCAAATTACTGGCAAATAAAAGCAAATAATTAGCTTCTGAAATGGTAATAGCTGTATCCATTGATCAAAAATGGTAACACCAATCGCTTGGATATTAAACATTTTTTATGCATTACCGTATTTTCCGGGCTATTAGGAGCTCTGGATTATAAGGCGCACTGTCATTAAATGGTCTATTTTTGACCTTTTTTCATAAATAAACTGTACCGGACTTTAAACGAAACACAACAGTTGGATGGGTCAGTGGGACTTTGTCTGGCGCGTTCACGGTGACTCCGGGCTTTGTTCAGTTGTGGGGTGTAGGGAGGGTGCTGTCTGGGACCGCTGGATTGTTATCGTGTTCACAGTGACTCAGTTGTTCAGTTGTGTCTAGAAGTGGCACATTGCACTCGCTTTTTCAGTTGGTTCCTCCGTTCCGTTCCTCGTCAGAGGGTAGTGATGAGTGTGGCTGTGGGTGTTTTTCGCTGTGCAGTCGCTGTGTGCTCTGTGCGCGTTTGCGTGCGCTGTGGGTGGAGCGGCTTTGTAGTTTACTGAAGTCGTGCTGGGACACCCGAGTGGATTCGTATATAGGGCGCTCTGGATTGTGGGGCGTGCTGTCGTTTTTTGATGGGGTTGGAGGCTTAAGAGCGCGTCTAACAGCCCGGAAAATATGGTAATTACTTCACAAAAGTACACTCAAAAATATAAAACATCTCAGTTGCCATCCAAGTCTAAAAGCTTTGTAGCCGATTCACCTGACCCCTCCCCGTTGTCCGCATTAGCCTCTGTACACCCCCTGTCACCCAGAAACCCCAACAGAGACCCCTGCGCATGCACTTGGCCGGACCCTATCGGATTATTTTGCCTCATTTGTCCCACATTGGCGGTTACTTGGCTATTTCTCGTCCATGTCCCCCCTGCGGAGTTGAGGGGGCTGAACGCCGTGTGTATATGCGGTTGTCCGGTCGGAGTTAGGGAAGCATGAATTGGCGTTTGCGATCCTTGGATTTCCGTATTGACGCTCAACGGCGAATGGTTGCCTGGGGAACACATCGGGCGTGACGTGCTCATAGTCGGGATGGTGATGTTGTTGTATCCCACTTGCACTGAGTAGCTGTTAAAAGCAGAAGAAAGCCCAAGTAAAGACGGTCCGGCGTGTCTGTGGCTAATATACGGAGAGCTTGGAGTTGGAGATGAAAAATTGTGCACTCTAGTCCCGTCTCTTTCGTTACAGCACAAACATGGGGACGTGAGCAGGTTCTGTCTGGAGGTACTGAGCAAAGTGGGGCTCCTGCTTTGGGTTGGGAGACCGGAGCAGGCCCATATATTTCGGGGCGGGTGGGGGATGGCGTCGTGGTGGAGGTGGAGGCCGGTGGAGATGCTTAAAGGGGCGGTGACGGCGGGGGGAGCCATCATCGGGACCCCGCAGGAGAAAGCAGAGGCAGGGGCCGGGGCAGAGCAGTGGAAGCTGGAGGCGTGGGACTGGAGGAAGTGCATGATGTTCTGCAGCTCTTTGGCCAGGCTGGAGACTTCTTGGTTCAAATTAGTCACCTGAAAATGGAAAAATAGGAAAGAAAGTAAGTAGCATTCAATAGAAGGCATTCTGATTTCCTCTCAGGTCTAGGCAGTGGTGGAATGTTACAAAATCAAAGTAGGAAAGTACTGTACAAATACATTTCAGGTATCTGTGTTTTACTTTAAGGTACATTGCACAACTTTTCTGGGGGAGGGTCCATGCTTGTCTGTATGGAGATGTCATTGTTTTATCTAGAATGTTCCATGGTAGACATTAAACTATCAAAAGAAACAGAAAACGCACACCAAAATTCCTGCAGAGGTGCAAATGCAAGGAGCAGCAAGACAAAAGTGAAAAAATGCATAGCACACTCAGATGGCAGATGTGCAAAAGCTTTTTCATTTTTAAATAACTTTTCAGCAAAAAAAGCCTTCGTCAGATATTTTTCTTGCTTTAGACCACACTACCACAGACACTGAACCTATCTCAAGGGAGACAACCATAAGTTATATTACAGGTCAGATCTGTGGAGAGGCAACACTATTCGCAGAGAGAATTACTGTGTTTTTGAGCAACAGAAACAGCCGTAATGAATAAATGAATGAATAAGTGAGTAAGATCTAAGTGTGTTTAATATCATACCATGAAACATTCCAGGCAAAGAAAAAACATCTCCATGGAGACCTGCAGGCGATGGACCCTTTAAGTACCTTTAAGTACAGTACATTTAAAAGTGGATACATTTTACTTTTACTGCACTACATTTGAGAACAGGTATGTGTACTTTCTACTTCACTACATTTTTGAAAAGGACTAAAAAGTAAATCTATGTTGAATTATAATTTGAGATCTTGATAAAGCTGAGAGGTTTATTTTTAACACATTTGTAGTTTGAGCAAGGAAAAAGATATGAATAAAAATAGCTAGGAAAAAAAATATTGATTCAATTGAAGAAAATTCAGAATGCAAAAATCACTACAAAATCTCAAAAATCTGCTTAAAAGACTTTTCTTTTATTTATAATAATACACTTTTTTAGTATCTGTTCAGTATCTGTAATTTTACTTAAGTAACAGAACTGAGTACTTCTTCCACCACTGGGCTTAGGCTGGGCTAACAAACTGTAAACAAACAGATGTGTTAGTTTCAGTGCAATCATCTCCTCCCCTGAGACAAATATAAGGCAGTGTCCACCAGCGTCTGACCACAACTGAAGAACTAGATGTTCCTTTTGCCTTGGATCATATCTGGACAACTGAGGGACTACACAGACATCTCAGTGCCAACATGTCAAAATAACCCTCCATGTGACTAGTGAAACTGATTACTCCACTAATGTTAAAGCCACAGTATGTCACTTTTTAACCAAAATATAGACTCTTAGCCTGTTTAATGTACTGACAAACATATGTCCTAAAGTGAGCGTGCTTGCATCTCCACAAACCTGATCTTATTTGGCCTGGAGGTGCATCTCATCCTGTTTTGGAAATGTTGAATGGAAATGTTTGGCTGTAATATTGTGGCACAAAACGTATCTTTCTCCAGAATGTTCCAAAGTGGTTTTAATTTTCTGTTTCCGTGGAATCATATAGGTGAAATGCCATCTCCACGAAGTTACATACTGTACGTTTAAAGATGTATTGTGCAACTTTTCTGGTGTAGGGTCCGTCAAATGCTTTGTCTGGAATATTATTTAGTGGTGGTATTAAACCTTTCTTCATGGAGACCAAATTACAGGTCAGATCTGTGAAGAGGCAACCCTGCTCACAGTCAGAATGCCTGTTTTTAGGTATTTTTGAGCTATAAAAGACATGTATTTGAATAAATGTAAGGTATAGAGCTGTTTAATGTCATACTGTGGAACATATAATGACATATCCATAGAAACAAGCAGGTGACACACCCCAAACCAAAAAGTTACATATTGTACCTTGTACCTGAAAAATAAATATTGTCCACAGAAGGAAATTTACTATCTGGACTCAACAACACCACAGTTAGTCCAAAACCACAGTACCTCTTTGCTGAGTTTGCTGATGTTCTGTCTGACCTCCTCAGTCTCCAGCAGCAGACTCGTGTTCACCTCCAGAGGGGCTGAAGGAAAGTGTGGAAAAAGAAAAAACAGGAAAATCTCAAAAGGAAATCTTACACGTGAGACAATGTTTAATGCTAAAACTGTTGAGCATGTACAGTATGTCTTTGAATTTGGAGTATTTAAAAGAGAAAGACGAATAATAAAGAGTTGATTTCAGGAGATGTACCTGTGACGTTAGAACTGGCTTCATTCGGCTCAACGTTAAATTGAAACCTGTGCCCGTTGTCTTCTATCCCGTCCACCACTCTGAAAAATAAATAAAACATAAAACATAAAACATCAATGCAGATAGATATAACAACACCACCAATGTTCCAGTATATTAAAGAAGTCTCACACTATTGTCACATTTGTCAGGAACATTTACAACCTCAAATAATAGGCAAGGCAAGGCAAGGCAAGTTTATTTGTATAGCACAATTCGTACACAAAGTAATTCAAAGTGCTTTACAGAATAAGAAATACATTAAAATCATAATAAAAACAAATCAAAACATAAATAATCATGAAGATTAAAATTAAAAAAGAGAGACATAAATTGGAGAGAAGAGTGCGGAATGAAAACCTTTCCAGTTATATGCACAGTTAAACAGAAATGTTTTGAGTCCTGGATTTAAACAGCGTCACAGAAGAGTCTGTCTCACATGTTCAGGAAGACTGTTCCAGGTTTTAGCTGCATGAACCTGAAACTGCTGACTCCCCTTGTTTAGTCCTGACTCTGGGCACCAGCAGGAGGCCGGTCCCTGAGCTCCTCAGAGTGTGAGATGGTTCATATGACACTAACATGTCACAGATGTACTTTGGTGCTCGGCCATGGAGAGACTTGTACAAGCAGAGCTGCTTTAAAGTCTATTCTCTGAGGCACAGGAAGCCAGTGCAGAGACCTGAGCACAGGACTTATGTGCTCGTACTTCCTAGTTCGAGTAAGGACCCGAGCTGCAGCGTTCTGGATGTTCTGGATGTTCTGGATGTTCTGGATGTTCTGGATGTTCTGGATGTTCTGCACAGCTCTCACAGCTCGTTTGGAGAGACCAGTGAGCAGACCATTACAGTATCTAACCTACTGGAGACAAACGCATGGATAAGTTTCTCCAAGTCTGCTTTAGACAGTAAACCTTTGATTTTTGCTATGTTTTTTAGATGGTAAAAGGCTGCAGATGTTATTGATTTGATGTGGCTGTTAAAGTTCAAGTCTGAGTCCATTATTACCCCGAGATTTCTTGCCTGATTTGAAGGTTTTAGAGAGAGACTGGAGGTGACTGCTGACACTGTCCCTTTGTTTCTGTGGACCAAACACTATGACTTCAGTCTTGTCAGAGTTTAGCTGGAGAAAGTTGTTTTGCATCCACACACTGATCTGTTGGATGCAATGACCAAGTGACTCCACTGGTCCATAGTCTCCTGCTGCCAGAGAGACGTAGATCTGAGTGTCATCTGCATAATTGTGGTAGGACACATTATTGCTGCTTATTAACTGGCCTAATGGCAGCATGTAGAGACTGAACAACAGGGGGCCCAGGAATTGACCCCTGAGGCACCCCACAGGTCAGGGCCATGTCATCTGAGACACAGTTTCCAATTTCAACAAAATACTTCCTGTCTTCTAGATAGGACTTGAACCAGTTTAGTACAGTACCAGAGATGCCCACCCAGTCCTCTAGTCTCTGTAAGAGGATCCCATGATCGACAGTGTCAAAAGCAGCACTCAGATCTAACAGGATCAAGACTGAGACTTTGCCTGCATCAGTGTTCAGGCGGATGTCATTTGTCACCTTGATAAGAGCAGTCTCAGTGCTGTGGTGGGCTCTAAAACCTGACTGGAAAACATCAAAGGAGTTGTTCATTTGGAGAAAGTTCGTAAGATGTTGGTAAACAGCTTTTTCAAGGACTTTGCCAAAAAACGGCAGATTTGAGATGGGTCGGAAATTGTTCAGTACTGTGGCATCAAGACTGCTCTTCTTTAGGAGAGGCTTAATGACTGCAGTTTTCAACGCATTTGGGAATGTTCCAGATTGAAGTGACATGTTAACTATGTGAGTGAGTGGTGAAAGTAAACTGTTGAGGACGGACTTTAGAAATCTAGTGGGTAACATGTCCAGGCAGCAAGTAGATGAACTCAGACTGGTAACGATCTCTAAAACAGTTTTGTCAGTTACAGGTGCAAAGTGATTCAGCTCTAATAAGCCCCTCCAAAACTGTACAGCTAAAGTGGCAGAGTGAAATATTGAGTAAATTTGGTCATGATTCTTAAAGGGACAGTTCGGAATTTTGGACGAAGGGCCTCGTTTCCTAGTGAGCCAGAGTGTTGGAGACGTGTGGAGATACTTGTTTCCACCCAGTCCTTGTATTTGCGGAGGTCTCTGGTGCTAGGCTAGTGCATGTCCAATCCAATCCACTTTATTTCTATAGCACACTTCACAAACAAACAGTTTTCAAAGTGCTGCACAAATACATAATAATAACAAGAATAATAAAATGATAAAATAAAATAATAAAACCAGTAAAATAAAATAAGAGCAAATTCACAAAATAGCAATAAATATCAATGGCCATAGTTATCCTGCCACTAAAATCAGTCTTTCCTATTCCACAAAACACCTTAGGCAAATCTATTATTACGCCAGACTGTCGATGTAAATGTCTGTGTTAATAGAATAATGTTTGAAATAAAACTAACCTTGCATCGCATGAATCGTCGCATGTTGAGGGACTATTTTCTCATATATCAGTCCGCCACTGCCAAACATTCTATCAGGTAGTACAACTTGCTGCTGCTGCTCAGACATAAATCCTTCAAATGCAAGGTTGTTTTTACTTCTAAAATTATTCTATCAACACAAACATTCACATCGACAGTCTGGTGTAATAATAGATTTGCTTCGGGTGTTTGTGGAGTGGGTAAGACTGTTTATAATGGCAGGCTAACTATGGCCATTGACATGCACTAGCCTAGCACCAGTGACCTCTGCAAATACAAGGACTGGATGGAATATTTTAAAAAATGTCTCCACACGTCTCCAACACTCTGGCTCACTAGGAAATTAGATCCTATGTCCAAAATTCTGAACTGTTCTTTTAATATCTCAAACAGAAAACACACTGTTCCACCTAATGATGTCATGTGAAAATATACAGGGAGTGCTCCACTGTGTTTTTAAACTACATACACCTTCACCAGAATCATTTGGATGATTTCAGATCTGGAATTGCCAATCTCTATTGAACTAAAGATAAAAGATAGCTGTTAAAGTTAAAAAGTAGCTGTTAATTGGAAAACAACCACTACAACTCCCACTACATGGCATCATAAGGTGGAAACTAGTGGAACCCTAATAATAAAGAGTTACTCAAGTATGTGTGCACGAAATAAAGCACAACTACAGTTATGTTTTTGACGAGGTAATAGTATTATAACACGACTTAAAGCTCACAAGAGTCAGTTTCACTCCTGCCATGTGCTGGTAAGACAAAAATCAAATAAACTTACATAAAGTTTATTCAGTTTAAAATTTCCCTTTTAGCAGTAGAAACAAACATTAAAATGTACCTTGGGCTGAGGTTGAGTGGGCTGGTACAGGGCAGAGTGGGCATTAGTAGTTTCGTGGGCCGATACATAGGCTGAGAGTCTTTATCCAGAGGAGAAAGTTCTTCAAAAGTTTGGGGTATCGGACTACAGCCTCTGCCCTGCACCGGAGACCTGCAGAGGCGCAGGGCGGGATTCTGATGTAGCTCCGCCCCCAACAGCGTACTGTAACGAGTCTGACGAACTGGGCTGCCGACGCCTTTAGGTAGGGGTACCCTCTTCTGCTCCGAGTCCTCATCTCCGTCACAGGCCTCGATGATAAAAGGCAGTTTTTGGTCCTGTGCGGAAATACAATATTGAAAACAAATAGAAGTGATAGAAGTTGTGGTTATGTGACAGTTCTAATAACAAATAAGTGGAGCCTAAGTATATATATATATGTTATTAGGTTCTGTTTGTTGTTTGTTGTCGAGTTTGTTTTCATACCTGACTGTTTCAACTGTGAACTAGCAGTCTTCGTCAGAGTGGTCACGAGATGTTGCTGATTTAAACAACTGATTTATACAGGTTTTGGTGCTGTCTTCCTACCGGTGAAGGCAGGACGACAGCGCCATCTGCAGTCCAACTTCCTCAGGACAGTATCCCATGTGCGTGAGAATAAAAAAGCCCCCTCGTCCCGGTTTATAGTCACGTGGGCGTGTTTCCACATTTCGATTGCGTCTTTAATCCAGCAGCGGTGTTTGTTTTAATCTGTCCCAATGATGTTTGTTCATGTCCATAATGTGGTTCTCCTTTTTACAGTGATCAGAGATTGCCGATTTGAGTTGTTCCTGTTCTGCTTTTTGTTTTGTTGTTTGTATGCACGCCTTCGCTGTTTCCTTCTCACATTCTGCTCAGATGGCGCTGTCGTCCTGCCTACACCGGTTGGAAGATAGGGCCAAAACTTGTACATATCAGCCAACTGGACACGTCACAGCAACATCAGATGACCACTCTGAGGAAGAGCGCTAGTGAGCAGTGGAAACTGTCAGCTATGAAAACAAACTCTTGGTCTGAAAAAAGAACCTACTAACATAAATTATCGGTAGACCAAATGAACCTCATGGGACTAAGGAGCCTAAGAAAATTTGAAAAGCCATCTGAGTCATTCAAAAGAGTCATGTAATATAATTTATGCTGGATTTGATGTAGCAAATAAATACATTCTCAAATCAAACTTTAAAAACTTGACTGATAACAAATGTAATGCTGATCTGTTTGTAGTCCTCAAAGTTCTTAGTCTTAATAAAGTCTGAACAAAGACATAAGGAGCAGCTCTTGAGGCCAAAATAATTCCTCTTGATGTTGCGTGCTTCTGGCATCTAATTATAAAGCTTTTTATTCCGATAATCAGGATGTACGCGTTAACATGCTAGTTGTTTTTAGCTTTACTGTCGTCGCAAAACACCACACTGGTCTTAGAAAGTTGTGAATTAAGTCTTTGTTCATGCTTTATTGAGGCCATTTAAAGTGTACTAATACCAAGATTTTACGTAATGGCCGCATCTCATTTCTCTTTCCTTGCTTCCTTCTCCTTGCCTCCTTCTCCTTGATTCTGCAGGAAATGGGTGAGGAAGTCTAACCCACAGAGGAGACTCGGTGAGAATAGAGGATATAAACTCCTCAGTGAGAGTGATAAAGTTCAGTTCTTTTATCTGATGTTTGTCTTCTGAAGCCTCCCTCATGTTTACTCCTTCCTTCCGTGGTTTTCTTTGGGACACCACTTTATATGACACATTTTATGGACAGCTGAAAAACGTAGGATCGAGGAGAGGAATCAAGGAGAAAGAAGTGTGGAACGAGAAATGAGACACGGCCGATGTCAAACTTGCTGACATTTTTGTTTCTCAAGACAACTGCATTAACCGATCAAAAAACAGAATGAGCTCTTCATGTTGGGTTGCCAGATCCTGCGACCACAACCTGTTTCTGATACACCCAGTAAGGCTCTCTATGATATGGTCTCACTCTATGGCAGCTAATGTTCAGTTGTGATACAGTTAATCAGTAAATCAGTAGCAGCACATACAACTATATCTTTAATTCTCATCACCACAACCTCTCTCTGTTTATCTTTATACTTAATTGTGGCCTGACTTGTACTTTTAAAACTTCTTTTCGCTCATTTAACTGTCAGAGAAGTTGAGATTATTACCTGGACTTGCAAACATAGTTTTAATACACATCGTCTCCATGGCACGTACCTGAGACACCTGGGGTAACCATGGAAACCTGCCTCCCTGAAGAAACACAAGAAACAAGACACTGAAGCCCTTCTATCTTTAGACAATGTGTGGGGATTTTAATTAGATAAAGGAACTGCATTTTTGAGCAAAGAGTTGTATCCTGTATCCTCTTTAAAAGCATAACTCAACAAATAAGATAAAGGTGCATTGTGTAACTTTTCTGGTGGAGGGTCTGTCAAATGCTTTTCTCCATGGAGATGTAATTGCTTTGTCTGGAATGTTTCACAGTGTGGTATTAAACCTTTCTATCATCATGGAGACCAAACCAGATAATAATAATAATAATAATTATAATAATACATCAGCTTTATATATAACGCTTTTCACGGTAGCACAAAGACTCTTCTCAATAAAGTAACACTAAAACAAGGACAGGACAGACAAAACAGTAATGAGGAGCAGTCGTGTGGAAAAGAAAAGGAAAAGAGCCTGTTTTGAGCAGTTTTTTTTAAGGTGTTAGGCTTCGTTTACACAGAGCCGGGTATGCTGAGAAACAAGTATTTCCCTCCCTCCGTTTTCCAAATAACGTCATGCACATAGCATCGTTTTCTAAAAAAGTTTTTGTTTCCATCAACCTGCATAAATGCGACATCAAGCGCCGGTCAGACCCAATGTCAGACCCAAAACCGAGGTTGAGGTCGCACCCAAAACCAGCGACTCGGTCTTTGAGTAGGAGGGAGAAGTGGCAAATGCAAACACATGAAAAGTGTTTGCTCCAGAAGAAATGCAACTGCTGCTCTGAATGCTCCATGATCATCATCAGAGCAAAAGGAAAACACTGGTTGCATTTTGACACATGAGCTGCCTAAACCTTGTCTCATTTTACATGTAAATGCAAAACCATAGTTTTCCAGAATCTCCACTTTAGACAGAGTTTTTAGAAAGATTTTTTTTCTGAGGAAAATTTGCCGTTTGTATGTAAAGACAGGTACAAACGAAGGGAAATCTCTTCACTTTAAAAAAGTACCCGTGTACGAGTAAACGGGGCCTTAGTGAGTCTGAGTGTCTGATGTGAAGGGAGAGAGTGTGCCAGAAGGTGAGGGTGGCCATGGTAAAAGCTCTGTCCCCCAAGGTCCAGTGAGTCGGCTGATTGGAGACAGTGGGAGGGATGAAGGAGCTGGAGGTAGGTAGGTATTTTAAGCTATAAAACCACCTGTAATTGAATAAATATAAGGTAAAGTAGTTTAATGTCACACTGTGGAACATTCCAGGCAGAGACACATGTTCGAAATAAAACAAATACAAAAAAAAAAAAAAAAGAGCGCAGTGACGTATCCATAGAAACAAGCAGGTGACAGCCCCTCCAACAATAAAGATAGCAACATCTCTATGAGACAAGCCAGGAAGTATAATTACTTAACTTAAATTCTCCAAAATGAAGAAAAATAGGTCATTTTGTTATGAATTAAGTTTTAATAAAGAGAGTAGTCTAATCCGTTAGGAAATGGTGCAGGTGTTTGCGGTCCATAAATACTCTCATTAGAACAAAGATGAGATGGAACAAAGACTCATCTAATCATGTCATTTACTGAAAGTCTAAAAATACTTTTCTTTTCTTGCGTCAATGTCACTCACTGCAGGTGTTTCATAATTGAAAGGAATGTACTGTTGAACGACTTTGTACCTGGACTCTCAAAGGACTCATACCTGAATACAACTCTCAAATCTTTAGACAGCAGATGAAAATATTAAGAAAACATTATTAATAAAATAAGTTTTAAAAAGTTAAATGCACTGGAAATCTGACTTGGGCTATAACCCAAACTTTATTTTAAGGCAACACTGTGTAACTTTCTACAGGCACATCACCCGCATGATTTCATGGAAATAGAAAGTTAAAAAGGAAAGATATTCTCCATGGAGATAGCTAAGATATACATTACTGTGGAATATTATAGTGAAAAGGTTTGTTGTCCAGGGCACCAGGGTCTTAGGCAAGAAGAACTGAAACTTCTGCCTATTAATGATTAGAAGGGGGCCCATGAGAGTCTTCTTGTTCTGGGCCCCCAAATTACTGTATATGGCCCTGGTCATATGCACTTCCAGTTGGCTTACCTCTGTGTTGGCCGGCTCTCTCAGGTTGTAGGTGAGGTTATGGTGGATGTCAGAGCTGAATCGGGCCCCATACTCTGGGTACAGTCTGAGCACCTCCCTCAGAGCTTTCACACTGATGTACTGCAGGTCACAGTACGTCAGAGCCTTCACGTCTGCGTTGGTCTTTATCACCTGCTCCTGCCCCGGGAGGTCCGCCCCAATCAGGTCCCCTTTACCTGGACACAGAGGGGGGAGAGCCTTAACTAATGCAGTGGTTTTCATAATCACATTGTAGGCTGAGAATCAAACGGACATAAGTAACTTTAAGGTAAATTTACAGGAGTGGCATTTTGTAGGTGAATTTTGCACGATTTAAAACAACTGATTATATTTTAATAATTATTCTCTTACATCTCCTTTGGCTTTAATTTTAATTGGGAGTTAATTAAGCTATTGATCATTTGAATAAATGATATTATTGTTCTAAACTCTCACCAAAACACTCCCACATAAGTCATTTTGGTGACAGCTAATAAATACAGGCCCTTCAATGCATTATTCATTCACTTCATACTTTGCTGGCCAGCCACTGTTATAGCCACAGCTGCCCTGGGGCAGAGTCACACACATAAGACTCCTCTGACAACAACTCTGACACATCACATTCACACTAGGTGACGTGGGCTAGGCAAGTGTCTTGCCTAAGGACATAATGACACTTGACTGTAGTCCTTGCAGCACGTGGTATTCCCAGTGGTCTCTCATCCACACACTAAACCAGCCGTGCTTAGCTTCAGAGATCAGATATTATGTGTTCAAACACAGATGTGACCCTTTCTTAATGTCCTGCATTGTTGTATTTTTCTCTCTTTGGCTCTCTCTTATTGGATTGTTGTTCATTCCCCCTGAGGATGAAGAAATATCATTGTGATTCTGGTTCTACATGATTTTGATGTAGCCTCTGGGGATAAATAAAGTTTTCTGAGTTGAATGAAATGAGATCTACACACTTAACCACTGTGTACTTGGACTGACCCAGAATGGCGAGCACCATCCCGTCCCTCAGAACCTCGAGGGAGCCGGAGCACACGTAGTAGTTGGCCTGGAGAGCGTCTCCATGGCGAATGAGGTACTCCCCTGGTGCACAGAAGGAGGTCTTAATGTGCAGGGACAGGGAGCGCAAGCACCCCCTACTGGCCCGCTCAAACACTGGCAGCTGCAGGATGTCTTTGTTCAGATGCATGGCGATGTCAGCACGAAGTTCATCTGGAAAGTCATGGAGGAGCTGAAAGAAAGAAAGAGGAATGGAGGAGAGTGAGATGTGACAAAAAGTACAGAGAAAAGAAAACTGTTGTGTACGTATTATACAACAGGTGGTACGATGGACCCTCTGCAATTTGTGTATTTGTTTTATTTAGATTAATAATTATTTTTTAACAACTTTATCCACCGTTCAATGTCATATTAGAGCTGTTTTTTTAGATCTTATTTTAGTCAAATGTAACCATCATTTAGGCCTTATACAGTCTCAGTTTAGATCTGGTGGTACTTGGAAAGCCAAATATAAAAAAAAAAAACATTTATTATATTGCTAATTATCTTTTTAATGATGATGTAACTATAATGTGACATAATGTAATGTTTTATATTAAACCTCAGGCATAAAGGGTCAGTAAAGTCATAGTTCAATATTTATGGTCAATAAGAGAAAACATGTTTAAGTTTTTGAATCCTAAGGAAGCATCCACTTTAAAATATTTTTTTGGAAGTGGAACAACTTCAGTAATGGCCACATGTCATATAAGATACCAAGTAGGCTATTGTTGTTGCATTTTATTTATGTAATTATTTGTATCATCATCATCATCATAATCATCATCATCATCATTATTCATGTTTATTCAGGACTCCTGATCCATTTTTAAAACAAGCAAGGACAGTGACAATACAAAACAATAAACATTTATGTTTTTTAAAAGAGAGCCATACCAATATCTCCACTTATTGGACTGATATCTTATTGCACTGAATCTCATATTTGTGAGTGACATTATTATTTCATTGTCCAATTTGTTCAGTCTGCAAATAAAACTGTACAATAAAATTCAAAGTAGAGCTTGCAGAGTGTTCACTCGTGCTGTAACAAACATCTCTGTCGCACTCGTTCATCGTGGCCTCTTCAAAAGCACCTGCAAAGTGTCATTGTAGGCCACCTGCAGTCTTTGTAAACTGGTAAGACACCTGCAGTCTTTGCAAACTGGCTTTTTTGTAATTAATCCAGAGGGGGGCTGTGTACAATGAACAATAACAGCTTTACATCATTTGTGAAAGAACCAAACATGCGCATAAGAGTATTTGCCTGAGCTTAGAGCATCCTACACTGTCTATACATCATCATCATCACCAGCATCAGCATCATCATCATCATCATCAGCATCTCTCATATCTGCAGTGTTGACATGCCCAAGATATTTCATTTTTGTTGTAACAGACAACACAACATATATATCTTTAATTTACTTTTGTAAATGAGAGAGCGGGGCTGGGTGGGATTGTTAAAAAAATGTTAAAATTCATGAATAAATCCTTCTAAACCACATATAATCACTACAAAATTAGCATGAAACTCAGACAGACATGATCCCCAATGGCCACTATAATCTATGATGCCTCGTGGTTATAGAAACTATAGCCCTGGAATCCTCACCTGAAAATAGACTATTCTTGTTCATAAGATTTCCCTCCATATTGTCTTTTGACGTGAGTAACATTTGTGAAGTTCGCACAGACCTATAGCAGCCTAACACTGAATCCATTATCTCCCAAAGGTGCCATCCGGGGTGCTAATGAGGATTTGTCTATTATTCCTGTTCACTGGGAGCGGTCTTATGGTCTGCCCGCTGTCCCCATGGTTATATTATTCATTTAATCCTCCACTTCTGGAAGTGGAGTGAGACTCTCGAGACAAAGTGACCCATATTCTGTGACATATTGGAGTCATAAAACGTGCATCAGATTTAAAATGTCAAAAACTTCACTTTTTGTCAAGTTTTATTAAAAGTTCCATATTACGCTTTAGATCATGCTGTAATGTTATTAGCTCCTCAAAAACACACCCGGAGCTGTGTTTTGTTTCATTCACACATGTTTGAGTCATTTAGTATTAGTCTGTCTACATCTCCTAAGCTCAAAATGCTCTGTTCCACCTTGTGATGTCATGAAGCGGTAGTTTTCAAGTTAACAGCTACATTTTACCTTTTATTTAACAGACAGACAGTGTTTTCTGTTTGAAAGAAGAACTCAGGATAAAATGTAGTATTTGTGTGTAGAATATAGCATAATATGGGCCCTTTAACAGGATAGGCTTTCAATACACTTAATTAGTACTTCTTTGCTAATGCATTAAGCCACTTTTGTCAACTTTCTGTCTACTTAAAAGGTTAGTTTAATGTTTTCAGAAGATTTCACAAAGCTAATTCGACTAATGGATTAGTCAAGGCCTGTGCAAACTTTTAAGAGCAGGACAAATAAAAGGGTTTTTGACGTAGGACTCTTAAAAACACGGGTTAGCATTTGAACAAAACAATAAGTGCAAAAGTACAAGTAGAGCAAAGTACAACATTACCAGCAGCGTGACCAGGCCAACTCTGATTTAGTTAACTTTTTAGAAGTTAAGAGTACTACTACTACTACTACTGCAAAATTATTTGTATAGCACAGTTCATCCATAAAGTAATTCAAAGTGCTTTAGAGAACATGAAAAACATTAAAATCACAATACGGAGAGTGTGACTGACTTTCTAAAGTCGTCAGGCCCGTCAACCTAATATTTGGGGCCCAGGGCAAGAAGTCTCACATGGGCCCCCTTCTAATATTAATTACTATGAAGAGGGTTCAATTCTGGGCTCATAAAACCTTGGGGCCTAGAGACAACAGAGCCCTTTGTCTACTGCACTGATAGTCGTAGTATTAGGGTTGTAAAGGTACATGTATTAATGGCGAATTGTTTTTGGTATGTGTTTACAGTCCGCCACTACATGTGCAGCTACACAGAAGGCTCGGCTCTTTAATATTCATGAGGGAACTCGTCCGTGATTGGGGTGGCAGTGTTTCCCTCAGCGCTTTAAATTTTGGGCAGTTGCCTTGACAACAGTTGCCCCCCGCCTTGACTACATCCCTCCAAACCACGTGAATCCTTGCAAAACTACAGTCGTCACCCCCTGGCCCTCACTTTTACCTTTCGTCACCCCCCCACCCCCCATAACTGCAACCTCTGTCCCAAACGAAAATATATTTTCAACAGCTGAGGACGTTGTAACTGCAGCAGATCTGCACTTACGGCAGACAATGTGGACAAGTTCATTTTTTCTGGCCAAAAAAATGAAGATTGAGTAAAACTTCATGCTGGAACTGTTAGTGCTGCGCTTTACTTTTTGAAAAGTTTTGTTTACCTTTTACAAGAAATGCACATTTTATAATATTGCATACATTTGTTGCTTATTTGAGAATCTACTTCAAATCCACTTTATTTCTATAGCACATTTTACAAACAAGCAGTTTCCAAAGTGCTGCACAGAGATCATAAAATGAAGGCCACAAAAAGGTAAATTGCTAAAATTTGATCATACCAGTCCTAAAACAATAGCAGTAAATTGTAAAATTAATTAAAGACACAAAGGATCACACCACTCACGCAGTGTTATAAGCCAGAGAATAAAAGTGGGTTTTAAGACGAGGCTGTTCGGACGGGGGTGTTCCAGAGTTTGGGGCCAGCAGCAGAGAAGCGCACTCTGCATTTATTTAATTTTCCCCTTTTGTATAATTTTAAAACAAATTATTGGTTTAATAAACACACACATAAACAACAAGCAAATACTGTACCGAAAATGAACTGAACTGTGACATCAAAACTGAGGTACGTACTGAACCGTGATTTTTGTGTACCCCTAAACCCCTAAGTAGCATAGTAATATTTTTGTTAGTTCTTCTCCTATTTCTACTCCTACTATGTCTCCTCCTCACCTCATTGGCGTTGATGCCGTTGTTGACCGACCACGTGGCCTGGAAGTACTCTAGCATTCTCTGTTTGAGCTGCTGGGGGAGGCGGTGGACTCTGATGAAGTCCTTGAGGTCCTTCATCCTGGTGTGGTAGAGGGAGCGTCGCGAGTACATGCGCTGGATAATAGCCGTCACGTTTCCAAACACCACGGCGTGCATCAAGGCTACGGAAAAATTAATGGAAAAGGATGAAGAATGTAGAGCAAGGCTGAAACAGTACAATGAAACTATAGGGTCTCTTATCTAGTCATTCAGTCTGAGATATGCAGGTCACAGGCAAATATAGGAAACTTATAGAAATATAGAACATTGTAGAATATACTAATAATGATGTCTTTCACGCTTTTGGTCTCATACAGCTCTGAATGTCATATACAAACAATGCAGAGTTTTGATTAAAGGGCCCATATTATGAAATTTTTTCATATCTGGAGTTGTGTTTTGTTTCATTCACACATGTTTAAACACACAAATCCTGCATATTTAGGCTGAGTTCTTCTCTCAAACACTACACAGCAAAAACTGGAGGGTTAAAATATTAGGGTAAAATATTTCAGAGGGTTGTTTTTTTTTAACACCAAAAGTGTTATTTTAAATATTTGAATGTTAAATGGAGGTTTGAGTTGGGGTTATTTGTCAGAGTTGATGTGCTTGAGATTAATTCAACTTCCCTTAGTGTTAATTCAACTTCCCTTAGTGTTAATTCAACTTCTTTTAGTGTTAATTAGGCTCCTCCCATTCACCACTTCAAACTCTTGTGAGAGAAGACCAGTTTGAACCAGTTTTGTACATAATTTCATCTTAAATTAACTAAAATAAACTTGTTTAGCTAAATCAAAATAACTCTACAAAGTGTTATCCGTTTACTCTCAAAACGTTAATATAACTCTGGATTTCGGGGTTAAACAGGAACTTTGGTCCAGTGTTACTTAATTAACATTTCCAAAAATGTAAAATTAACTTTAGAACAGATTGGACTCATATAAACTCTGAGAAAATGTTAAAATTGATTCTGTGAGAGTCAATTTTAACACTTCACTTTTTGCTGTGTACGTTCCACCTCGTGATGTCATGTAGTAATACAGGTGTGTTTTAAACTCCATACAACCAACACTAGAATAATTTGGATGATTTCAGCACTGGAATTGCCGATCTCTACTTAACAAAAGGTAAAAAGTAGCTGTTAACTTGACAGCTTCGTGACATCACAAGGTGGAACAAAGCATTTTGAACTTTACATTAACCTTATCCATCTTGTATTTGATTAATTATAGTGGACGTTTTAAAGCTAGAAATATCTTCAGAAACATGTATTCATATGTGTGTTCTCTTCTCCTGAAATTGTATCTGTAACTCCGGTAGCATCCATTCTGGAGATAACTTTTTAATGCCATACTGTGGAATATTCCTGGCAGAACAATAAATATCTCCAAAACAAGTGGCAGACACACGACCAGAAATGTTACATAGAGCATTTTTGATTTGCTTCATGTTTCACTGCAATATTGTCACAACTGTAATATACCAAAAATCAAAAAAAGTATTTATTTATATTTGTATGTATTTAGAAGTTAAATGCAGAGTGCGTACCTCCCATGAGCATGATGCAGATGGAAAAGACCTTCTCTGCGTCTGTGTTGGCGCACACGTTGCCGAAGCCCACACTGGTCAGACTGCTCAGGGTGAAGTACAGAGAGGCGATGTACGCGCTGGGCATGGGCGGTCCTCCCACTGAGCTGTTTATGTACGGAGTCTCCAGACGCTTCCCCAGCTCCTGCAGCCAGCCTCAAACACCATACAAAGTCTATGTTGAAATACACTGTATCAAACTGCTACTAGAACTACTGCTAGTACTACTACTGCTACTACTGTTACTGCTACTGCTTCTACTAGTACTACTGCTGCTGCTGCTACTACTACTGCTACTGCTACTACTACTACTACTACTACTACTACTACTACTACTACTACTACTACTACTACTACTACTACTACTACTACTACTACTACTACTACTACTACTACTACTGCTACTACTACTACTACTACTACTACTACTACTACTACTACTACTAGCTACTACTACTACTGCTACTACTACTACTACTACTACTACTACTGCTACTACTACTACTACTACTACTACTACTGCACTACTACTACTACTGCTACTACTACTACTGCTACTACTACTACTACTACTGCTACTACTACTACTACTGCTACTACTACTACTACTGCTACTACTACTACTGCTACTACTACTACTGCTACTACTACTGCTACTACTTGCTACTACTACTACTACTACTACTGCTACTACTACTACTACTATTGCTACTACTGCTACTACTAATACTTCTACTACTACTGCTGCTGCTACTGCTACTACTAGTACTACTATTGCTACTACTACTGCTACTACTATTACTATTACTACTACTACCACTAATACTACTACCTCTTACTCTACTCAGTACTGCTACTACTATTAGGGGCGGGAGTAATTCAGTTGTTTGAGTGTTTGTCCACTAATTTGAAGGTTGGCGGTTTGAATCGCGCTCCCATCATAAACATCACAGGTTGAGTGGTCAGATCCACTGACCCACGGGTTGGTGGTGTGATTCCAGCTCCCACAAATCAATGCTGTAGTTGTGTCTGTGTACACTGTTGTGTGAATGTGTGTGTGAATGGGTGAGTGGTTCCTTGTGGTAAAGTGCTTTAAGCCTTGAAGGTAGAAAAGCACTGTATAAAAATGTGACCATTTACCATTAAAAGTGCTACTAATACACTTAATGCTCCCACTACTATTACAACAGCTACAACTACTGCTACTTTTAATGCTACCAAGGCCACTTATACCACTATTTATGCTTCAAGTATTAAGTCAAAGTAAATCCTGAATTCTTAAAGGGTCCATATTACACCGTTTTCTGATCTATGTTATTATATAATTTCTCAATCACAAACATATCTGGAGTTGTGTTTTGTTTCATTCATGTTTAACACACAAACCCTGCATATTTAGGCTGTGTTCTTCTCTCAAACTGAACATGCTCTGTACCACCTTGTGATGTCATGTGGTAATAAAAGAAGTGCTCCACTATGTTTTTAAACACTAGAATCATCTGGATCATTTCAGCACTGGAATTTACAGTCTTTACTGAACAAAAGTAAGGTAAACAGTAGATGCTAACCTGAAAACTACTGCTTCATGACATCACAAGGTGGAACAGAGCATTGTGAGCTTTGGACATGTAGACAGACTAATAATAAAGCATTTCTCATTGTGCGAATAAAACAAAACACAACTCCAGGTATGTTTTTGTGGAGATAACCCTGACTATTCTTCTCTAATAAAAACATTGCAACAATACATTTCAAAAGCAGAGGACAAAAACAAATCCTATTATTATTTGGATCTGCAATTAAACAGAAACAACCTGACTCATAATAACTTTCTTCCCAAATGAATTAAACTTTGAAAATCGAAAATTGAATCACCACTTCATGCAAGGTTCAGCTTCGTCTAAAAAACAATTTCAAAAATTCATTAAGTTTTATAGCACTGAAAATCTTTGTCATGTGTTTGGGAATTGCAAAAATTGCGTTCATTGAAATTCTAAACAATAATTGCCCCCTCGTTTACACGTAATGTAATTGGGACATCGCAGTCCACAGTAATGGCTTTTTGGTTGTCATGAATGTTGCACCAAACATCCCCAACCGAAACTAATGGAAAAAATACATCATTATTTGAATTCGTGAGACACATGCCAAGACTTACCAATGTCCCAGGTAACGGGATCGCTGCTCTCGATCTCCTTTCGACCAATCACGTACCAGACGCAGGCCATCCAGTGAGCCAGCAGGGCGAAGGCGGACATGAGGAGTGTCAGAACCACGGCGCTGTACTGGGAATATCGATCCAGCTTCTGAAGGAGGCGGAGGAGACGGAGCAGCCGGACTGTCTTTAGTAAGTGTACAAGGGAGGTCTGGGGAACAGGTAAAAATACTATGTTTAGTTTTAGTTTCAGCTTAGTTTTGTTGAGTCCAGTATCATAGTTGCTACAGTTGGCTCAGAATAAAAAAAAGTTGAACTGCCTAAAAGAAAACAGTTAGAAAATCAAACAAAAAGCAATGTGATGCCTTATTGGATTAGTTTAGTCTTAGTTAAGTTCTGTTTAAGTTCGACCTGGTTTAGTTCTGGTTAAATCCTTGTTAAGTCCTGGTTTAGACCTGGTTTAGACCTGGTTCAGTACTGGTTTAGACTTAGTTTACTCCTGGTTAATTCCTTCCTAGTTTAGGCCTGGTTTAGTCCTGGTTCAAAAACAGTTTAGGCCTGTTTCAATCCTGATTTTGACCTGGATCAGTCCTGGTTAATTCCTGGTTTAGACCTGGTTTAGTCCTGGTTCAGTCCTGGTTTAGTCCTGGTTCAGTCCTGGCAAAGTCCTGGTTTAGATCTGGTATAGTCCTGGTTTAGTCCTGTTCAGTCCTGATTAAGTCCTGGTTTAGTCTTGGTTAATTTCTGATCAAGTCCTAGTTTAGACCTGGTTTAGTCTTGGTTCAGTACTGGTTAAGTTCTAGTTTAGACCTGGTTTAGCCCTGGTTCAGTCCTGGTTTAGACCTGGTTTAGTCCTGGTTAATTCCTGATTAAATCATAGTTTATACTTGGTTTAGTCCTGGTTAAGTCTTAGTTTAGACCTGGTTTGGCCCTGGTTCAGTTCCGGTTTAGACCTGGTTCAGTTCTGAGTAATTCTCAATTTAGACCTGGTTAATTCCTGGTTTAGACCTGGTTCAGTCCTGGTTAATTCCCGATTAAGTCCTAGTTTAGACTTGGTTTAGTCCCGATTCAGTCCTGGTTAAGTCCTGGTTTAGACCTGTTCCCATGGAAATAACTCTCTTGGAGATTCACAGTTTGGAAAGCAATCTCCAATATTATGATCTACAAAAGTTGAACTTTCTCATTATTTGTCAGATATTGGGTCCACCGACTTGCCATATTAATTTTATGGTCTAAAGTATTTTCAACCGACATCTATCACATCTTCTGGGTTGAATAATTGCACCACTTTCTGTAGCTATTATAAAAAAAACATATTTCTGCACTGACAGAGGAGGCATTGAATTTTGTCTCTTTAATCTTGGTTTCATGTAGTTAAACTTTTCAATTTTAAATGATTCTTGGGTTTCAGTCAAATTTTGCTTTCTGATTTAAAGGACTTTGTGAAGACCTTTCCCCATTTAAAAGATATAATATTTAGATTTTTACTGCCCAATCGCTATAAAAACAGAGCACCGTTGCCATAGCTTGAAACCCAAAACCAAAGAAATGAATCACACACACACATGCGTATATGCCAAGTCTGATGATCTCACCACTGTGATGTTGAACGCGTACAGAAGGTCAAAGGGCAACGCGGCGATCAGGTCAACAAAGAACCAGGTAGTGCAGTAATGAATGTAGATCGAGCGGGGATTGTAGACCACCTGACCCGACTGACTGACGTAGGTTGTGCGGAAATTTAAAATGATATCTGTGAAGAAAAAAAGAAGTGAGAAAGAACATTCATGAGTCAGAACATGATTATAAAAAATAGGTCTTCATCAATCGACACTTTGAATTTCTTGCTGTACGTGACGCCATTTGGTCACTGATACTTTGGGACACCATGATTATTGTGATTATAAAGAACTCATGAGGAACTTAGAAGCAAAAAATTTGGTCTTTTCAATTCAGTTATTAGTACAAAAAGGTATAGAGAACAGTAACTACCCTTCCTATAATCTTATTAAAGTGCGACAAAGGACTTAAAGGTGCATTGTGTAACTTTTCTAGTGGAGGGTCTGTCAAATACTTTTCTCCATGAAGACATTATTGCTTTGTCTGGAATGTTTCACAGTATGGATAAATCTTTCTATCTTCATGGAGACTCAACCAGACCAAGTTACAGGTCAGATCTGTGGAGAGGCGACCACACTCACAGTCATAATGCCCGTTTTTCTAGGTAGTTTTTGAGCTATAAAACCACCTGTAATTGAATACATTTAAGGCAGAGCTGCTTAATATCATACATTAACAGTGACAGACCCCAACCAAAAAGTTACATAGTGCATCTTTAAAGCTACCGCCTGTAAGCTTATTCGATTTAAAAAAAAAATTTCACTAGTAGATGGCAGATGTAAAACCTGCTCCACCCTCTCATTGCCTCTGGTTTTCTTCTGTTAAACAAAAGCTGGCACACTATCAGACGGCAGTGGCGTAGAAAGCCTCTAGTGGTGATATGTGAGAATACATCAGGGGCGGGTCAGCCAGTCTAATTACCGATGGTAGCTTTAATTCATAATTCAAACTGATTATTAAGAATGATTTGAGCTTTGTAACTATAAAAAATAAAAAATACCCTAACTCTTTACCCCAACCCTTTAATTAAGTTATTAAAGCTAATTAATTGTTTAAAGTGGTAGCAAAAAGTAAATGTAAAGTACTTTTTTCATAAAGATGTTTACATATTCAAGGGATAATTTATTAGAAAGTGTGAATAAAATTGCATTAAAGGTGCATTGTGTAACTTTTCTAGTGGAGGATTCGTCAAATGCTTTTCTCCATGGAGATGTTACGGCTTTGTCTGGAATGTTTCACAATATGCCATTAAACCTTTCTGTCTTCATGGAGAGTAAACCAGACCAAGTTACAGGTCAGATCTGTGGAGAGGTGACCACACTCACAGTCAGAATACCTGTTTTTCTAGGTGTTTTTGATCTATAAAACTACCTGTAATTGAATAAATGTAAGGCAGAGCTGCTTAATATCATACATTAACAGTGACAGACCCCAACCAAAAAGTTACATAGTGCATCTTTAAAGCTACCGCCTGTAAGCTGATTCGATTTTTAAATTTTTTTTCACTAGTAGATGGCAGATGTAAAACCTGCTCCACCCTCTCATCACCTGTGGTCTTCTTCTAATTATGGATGGTAGCTTTAATTCATAATTCACTGATTCAACTGATTATTAAGAATGATTCGAGCATTGTAACTATAAAAAAATACCCTAACCTCAACCCTTTTAAAATTATTAAGTTTAATTATTAAGTGGTACCAAAAAGTAAATGTAAAGTACTTTTTTACTTGGCTGTTCATAACTAACATTAACTAAACTTATTATTACAAAATTTAGATTTCATAGACTTTTCTGATGGAGGGTTCTTTTTTTTTTTTACATTTCTATCTTCACGGAAACCAAACCAGGCCAAGTTACAGGTCAGAATGCCTGTTTTTCTAGGGATTTTTGAGCTATAAAACCACTTGTAATTGAATAAATGTAAGGTAGAGCTGTTTAATGTCATACTGTGGAACATTCGAAGCAGACCAATGACATCTCCACAGAAACGAGAAGGTGACGAACCCCAACCGAAAAGTTACATAATGCACCTTAAAGGATGTTACCAGACACGAATAATAGTAACTCTAAAATGCAATACATCAACAGCCTTTATGAACCAAATATCCATGTAAAGTGCAGTTTCAACACTGAACATAAAGCAGCACAAAGTGGGCGATGTGTCTTGCCAGAGGACACAACAGTGTGTTCTAGAGTCGACGTTGAATCACCAACCTCGAGCATTCACTCTACCACTGAGTCACTGCTGGAGATGCTCAAAGCCTATAGACATGTTGATAACACTGCAACTACAATAAAACAAGCAAGTAGACTGAGAACGATTCAGGCTTAATAAGTAGAGTTCATTAATACACAAACCCTAACCTCTTAATTAGATCATTCCTAAGACTAAATCACTCTTCTTAATTAGATGTGTGTTTGTTATTTGTTAGAGGTGCATTGCATAACATTCTCGGTCTGGTGGAGGGTTCGTCAAATGCTTTTCTCCATGGAGATGTTTTTGCTTTGTCTGGAATGTTTCACAGTGTGATATTAAACCTCTCTATCTTTCTATTCTATGGAGACCAAACCAGACCAAGTTAAAGGTCAGATCTGTGGAGAGGCGATCCCGCTCACAGTCAGAATGCCGGTTTTTCTAGGCATTTTTGAGCTAGAAAATCACTTGTTATTGATAAAGTGTAAGGTAGAGCCAAAACCTGTATGAATGAGCTGACTGGACACGTCACAGCAACGTCACGTGACCACTCTGAAGAAGACCACTAGTGCTCAGTCGAAACGGACAGATATGAAAACAAACCCTTGGCAAGTCAACGCAGCACAGTGAGTGAGTTGACATGCACATCAGTATCAGTTATGATCAAGTTTTTTGAGTATCCCGCTCCTGGTTTAGTCCTGGTCCAGTCCTGGTGTAGTCCTCCTGGCGATCGGCTCTGTGGTTGCGGCATGTATATATTTATAATCCGCTAATAAGGCGTAGGTTCAGTCCTGGTTCAGTCCTGGTTTAGTCCTGGTTTAGTCCTGGTTCAGTCCTGGTTCAGTCCTGGTTCAGTCCTGGTTCAGTCCTGGTTCAGTCCTGGTTCAGTCCTGGTTTAGTCCTGGTTTAGTCCTGGTTTAGTCCTGGTTTAGTCCTGGTTTAGTCCTGTTTAGTCTATCCTGGTCCAGTCTTGGTGTAGTCCTCCTGGCGATCGGCTCTGCGGTTGCTGCGTGTATATATTTATAATCTGCTAATAAGGCATAGGTTCAGTTCCTGGTTCAGTCCTGGTTTCAGTCCTGGTTCAGTCCTGGTTCAGTCCTGGTTTAGTCCTGGTTCAGTCCTGGTTCAGTCCTGGTTTAGTCCTGGTCCAGTCCTGGTGTAATCCTTCTGGTGATTGCCTCTGCGGTTGCTGCGTGTATATATTTATAATCTGCTAATAAGGCATAGGTTCAGTCCTGGTTCAGTCCTGGTTCAGTCCTGGTTCAGTCCTGGTTCAGTCCTGGTTTAGGCCTGATTTAGTCCTGGTTCAGTCCTGGTTTAGCCCTGGTTTAGCCCTGGTTCAGTCCTGGTTCAGTCCTGGTTCAGTCCTGGTTTAGCCCTGGTTCAGTCCTGGTTCAGTCCTGGTTCAGTCCTGGTTTAGCCCTGGTTCAGTCCTGGTTCAGTCCTGGTTCAGTCCTGGTGTAGTCCTGCTGTAGCCCTGGTTCAGTCCTGGTTCAGTCCTGGTGTAGTCCTGGTTTAGCCCTGGTTTAGTCCTGGTTCAGTCCTGGTGTAGTCCTGGCGATCGGCTCGATGGCTGCGGCCTGTATATATTTATAATTCACTAATGAAGTGTAGGTTCAGTTCTGGTTCAGTCCTGGTTCAGTCCTGGTTTAGTCCTGGTTCAGTCCTGCTGTAGTCCTGGTGATCAGCTCAGCAGTTGCGGCGCATATATATTTATATTCCGCTAATGACACAGTGTAGATTTTCTTGTCCTGGTGTTTGTGGCTCTAAACGAAGGAGAATTCCACCCACACGGTTTATCCTCAGCATGTTACAAATCATCCATCCTACTGTGTGCGATTGGACTAATGGGCTGTTGGATTATTGTGGATTTGGACCAATGGGCTGATGGAACGAATTACATATTGTGGGTATGAAATAGTAATTGGAGACCACAATTTATTATCTTTTTTTTTTTTTTTTTTTTGCGTACGTCATCAGGTGGGCTCCCTATCATTAGACTAAGGTAGAACTGTTTAATGTCATATGCCGTATCCATAGAAACAAGCAGGTGACGGACCCCCAACCAAAAACTTACACAGTGCACCTTTAAAGCGCATATAGTGTAGTTATTATAAAGTGGTAGCAACAACTTTTGTATCAGTATTTCACATTTTAATGCTTAAAAATATGTATGGAATTTATGTTCTTTTGCTACACTTTCACTTTCCTTTTGAAGAATTGGATTAGTTGTCTCGCGCCTTAGCCTGCTGACAACTTTGTACACTGAAATATTCTGAAAATGAAATATAGCAGAGAAGTTGACATCAACACCGCCCCAAAGACGATTACAGATTACAGAAGTTTGCTCTATACTGTAAGTAGTTTCATTTTGAATTGACAGTGACAAAGTTATTTCCCTGGAGTATTTTTACAATCTAATGTGTAAAAGGTGCGTGCTCCTTCCGCGAGGACTCTCAAACTTTATTAAATACGTCAACAGCAGAACAGCGGATGAGGAATGTGCGATGACACCCAAACGAAGTGGGGAAAAGTGAGAGGGAGAATCTAAATATTACTCTGACTGGGGGCATCAGACGCACGCCGAGGCAAAGAAGGAAGTAGAAGCAGTGTGAACAATCAACACGTCTGTATCACAGCATTTCAGGGCAAACGCTGGGGAACTCTGGGTAAACGGATGGAGGAACTATGAGCTAGTATAGAAAATCGGGTCATAATTGATACTAAAACCTGTATCCAAACTACAGTGGATACTCTTCTGAGCAGGTATCCATACTAAAAGTGACATTCACAGGACAGAAATGAACCGTTGGCAATACATATAAGACGATTACAAATCCAATCTTTATCTTTCATGAACCAACCAAACCTTGAAACACTGACATTTTATGATTTAGTCGACCTTTACACTTTGTTTAAAGTAAACAACAATCTTTTGTCAAGATCATTACAGAATATGTTCAAAATCTGAAATAGCCGATCGAGCTCAGAGGTACGGCCATGTTTAGCAAAAAGAAAATGAGAACAAATATTTTGTATCTCTGTTAAAGGAGTGGACCTCTGGAACAACTGAACAGAGGACCTAAAACTGTGCACCGCTCTCTTCCAGTTTATAAAGAAGTTTAAATGTTTAACTCTGGGCAGATACATGAAATATGAGAGTTAGTTTGTGCTGTAGGACTTTGTTGTACTGTTACTCATTTGTTTGTTCCCTCTCGCTGTATTTATGATGATGAACTGGTGTTAAGATGACGCTCTGACAAAGGAGTAAAGGGTAAAAGCATAAGCTCAAGCTTCAGTCTACACCTTTTCAGTCAGTGTATGTTAAAGATGAATATACGTGTGACCGGAATAAATTTAATCAATCAATCAAATCAGACCTTTCCTGAATACCTTTAGAATGATCTTGAGGTGCAGAAGAGCACAAAGACAAAGAGATATTAATTCCACTACACAATTTTGACCTCTCTTCCAGCTCAGTTTAAACTGTAGCTATTCTGGTCTGCGCTGTTATTGTCTCTTCCTCAATGTTAAACTCAAAATACAAAATTGAGTTTAAAAAAAAAAAAAAAAAAAACATCTTCAGGAGCCTGTGATAAATTCCAGTGTTCATGGTCCTGTTTAGGTGTTTCATTTCCAACTAGTTTGTCGTTGTAATGTTATTTGAGAGGAGCTTGTTTAACAATAAAAAAATCATCCTCCTGTTGTGGTTCCTGTTAAATCAGTTCTTTATGGTCAGTACTACTACTACATATGTGTGTGAACTGTGGGATTTTCTGTGCTTACAAAAATGAAGACAAAACACAGAAACAGACTAAATTCTGCGTCTGATCTGCTGCTGCTCTCTCCTCTTGCACCTCGGACTGGAACAAGCTACAAAAACATCGACAGGCCAACATTTCTATCTCATTAGAAATGTTGAAATGTTAAGACCTGTTTTGTACAATTTTATTGACTATTTTTCTCCAATATTGCTGGTTCAATTGAATGTTGAAAAGATAAAGAAATGGGCTACATTTAATGTCCAAATAAGCGACTTATGGATCCTTTTATTGCTGCTTCAGTGATTGTTTTTCATTGTTTAAAACTTGAGTAATAAGTCAACAATAAAATATCCTCATTAATGTTCAATAATCGTTAAATCCACCTTCATTTTTTTTTACTTACGAATGATGTCTATTGACTTGGGTCGCGAAGGTTTGTGACTATAAAAAGAGAATTTTGTCAACATCAACTGCCAAGTTTCAATAGTAAATATATTCTATTGTATTCTGTTGTATATGAAAAAGTACAGTATATAGCCAAGTCAATGATACTAGAACAAAAGTGTTTTAATTGTATGTCATGAATAATTCTTCTAAGTGAAGCCTGTAATTACTAAAACAACACATTTAGGTTGTGCAAGAAAAATGACGTAACAGTGAATTCGGTGCATTATTCATTCATTTCGTGCGAGATGGCAGCCATTTCTGTATCTACTCTCTCCGGAAGTCACGCTGATTTATTCATGTCAAGGGGAGTGTCTTGCCAAACAGCAAATGAACCACCAATTTCGAGGTTAGTAGGTAAAAGTCACTATCACCAACTGAGTCGCTTTCACCAAGTGTGTGCCCACTACCTTTGAATCTAAATGAAAGAATTGAACACGTTGGCATATTACATCACATATCCTTTTAGCGTTTTCTCTGATTCTGATTAACACCCCCTTGACTCTGGGGTTTATCTTTGAATGTGATAATTTCCTTGTCAGACAATTCAAATTCAAAACTATAAATAAACAAAAGAAAAATCTCACCTTTTTGTATAGAACTGTCAGGTTTTAGGTCTATGCGTTGCTTTTTTTGGAGCAGTGAACTACACATCCCATGATCCTTTGCTCTGTGTCCCATATTGAACTTCCTGCCTAATTCCCACTTTGTCTGAATAGTTTGAAGTAGAATGACAACCAGGTGGGTAAGGTCACCAAAAATTGTAAGCCTATTCAAGTACTGTAATGGGTGTTGGAAAAAAAATATTCAAATAGGAATAAAAGTAATGGGTGAGACTCAAGAAAATGTTTTTTTGTTGTTTTTTTTTTTCAATTTGATTAATGTAACAAGTACAAAACATTTTTAAAATAACAAAATCTGGTAGGACAGACCACAAAAATGAAAAAAAAAAAAAAATCAACATCATATTTGGAAGAGAAATCAAGATAAATTTGTTCTCTGTATTTGATCCATGGAGCAACCTATTAGGAGTAGTCTCTAGATTTTGCCTGCTTGTTTCCATGGAGATGTTATTGCTTTACCTGGAATGTTCCATGGTATGACATTAAACATATCTATCTAGCATTTATTTATTACAGGTGTTTCTATTGCTCAAAAATACAATAATTTCTTCTGCGAACAGAGTTGCTTCTCCACAGATCTGAACTTTAATGTAGAATAGTGCTGTAACCTCTATACTGTGGAACATTCTAGACCATTGTTTCCCAAAGACTGGTCACTACCCTCAGGTGGGTCACAAAAATTTTTTTTGAGGTCGCCTTGTCACGATCTGGATGTAAAGTTCTGACACTTGAGAGACCTGGTGAGTCCGTAAATATGTTCTCATCATTCTGGATCAGCATTTCATCAGACTATCCTGTCCTCAGTAGGGTCGGTATTTCTCTGCTTATTCCTTTCACTGCTACATATATGTGTGAATTGGGATTTTCTGTGCTCACAAAAATGAAAATAAAGCACAGAAACAGACTGCTGCTGCGCTCTCCTCCTACACCCTGGACTGGAACGCTCTACAAAAACACAGACAGACCCACCTATCTCATTCAAAATGTTGAAATGTTAAGACATGTTTTGTATAATTTCTAATCTTTTTGTAATTATTTTATTGACTATTTTGTTCCAATATTTCTGGTTCAATTGAATGTTGAAAAGAAAAAGAAATGGGCTACACTTAACGTCCAAATAGGCAACTTATGGATCCTTTTACTGCTGATTCAATGTTTTTTATTATTTAAAACTTGAGTAATAATAATTGTTCAGAGAGACACGATCACTCAGTCAGCAATAAAATATCCTCATTAATGTTCAGTAATGGTCAAGTCCACTTCTATTCTGTGATTTATAAATAATGTCTGTTGACTTGGGTTGCAAAGGTTTGTGACTTTTAAAATATGAGTCCCCAGAAAAAATGTTTGGGAAACACTGATTTAGACAAAGCAATAACATTTCCATGGAGACAACTCTTCTGATGGAGGGTCCGTCAGATGTTTTTCTCCATGGAGATGTTATTGCTTTGTCTGGAATGTTTCACAGTACCTTTCTATCACCATGGAGACCAAACCAAACCAAGTTACAAGTCAGATCTGTGGAGAGGCAACTTCGCTCACAGTCAGAATGTTTGTTTTTCTAGGTATTTTTGAGCTATTAAGCCACCTGTTATTAAATACATGTAAGGTAGAGCTGTTTAATGTCATACTGTGGAACATTTCAGGCAGAGCAATGACATATCTATAGAAACAAGCAGGTGATGGACCCTCCACCAGAAAAAGTTACACTATGCACCTTTAAAGCCACAATATGTAACGTTTTAACCAAAAAATAGACTAAAATAGATAGTTATTTTTCATCTTGGCTGTGTTCTTTGCACTGGACAAAATGTATCCAATAAACAGAGACTGTGTATGGCTCTTTCTAAAACTTGAGTAATACTAATTGTTCAGAGAGACACAATCACTCAGTCAACAATAAAATATCTTCATTAATGTTCAGTAATGGTTAAATCCACCTTTATTTTTGTGATTCACGAATAATGTTTATTGATTTGGGTCGCGAAGGTTTGTGACTTTTAAAATATGGATCCTCAGAAAAAAAAGCTTGGGACAAAACAATAACATGAAGACGCGAAGACAAGCAAATGAAGGACCCTCTAGAAATGTTACACAGTGCGCCTTTAAAGCTTTTGTCAATTATAGACTGTCATAAGTAAGTTCTATTGTTTTGTTTTGTTTACTCAGGCAAATAAAACTACTACTTCCCACCTCTGATGACCATTATGAAACAAGACAAACATCCATCTCCATGAAATTACCAGGCAGTAAAGTGTCTATTATTAACAGGATCATTTGCATAATTACCCAGAATGAAGAGGACCTCCACGGCGATGTCACTGGCCATAGTTCCTTGGCTGACCTGCGTGTGGCGCTCTTGGTCGGGGTCGTGGTTCACGAAGCTCACGTCATAGGGAACAGTCACCGCCACGTAGAAAGTGGCCAGGAGGATGAGCCAGTCCCACAGGGCTTTGGAGATACTGTAGTGAAGAAGGATGAAGCGGGACTTCTTCACCGCGGCAACCTTGTACTCAGGTAAAGACGGCTTCTGGAACATGTTCTGGAAATGCAGAGATACGTGTGAAGTCAAAGTTTGTGTGATAATTTGCAGAAGAAAATTAAATACATAATCCAATCAGTGTATGAGTTTCATTATATTACACTGTGAACCTGAACGTTCATAGTAATAAAATAGATTAAGTTGTGTATACTCAAAGTTTTAGAAATAGTCCTACTAACTTAATTATGTCAAGTTCTTCTTTTTGACTAATTTTAACTAATATTTTTTGATTAAAGGGAACTCTTGTGGGTATAAGTGAACATAACTTAAAAACATAGATGAGGTACAACTGAGGTACAAGTAGCAAGTCCAACCTTTTAATTTCTGGAAGATTGTGACTTTTAATTTCATCAACTTATAATTATAATTTAACTTATAATATAATAATTGTGGCAATCGATTACCTCAGTTTTTTTTTAGTTCTGGTAACTTATTCAGGTTTACAGTGTATAGTGCAACATTTCTGAGGCAAGTCCAGCATATCTGTATTTTACACTGAAAAAAATCAGACCGGTGCTCACTTCCTTTGCCGTGTCTTGTCCAGTCATATTTATTTATTTCAGTGACGCATGTGACATGAGGGATCTCATTGGTTACTTTTCATTTATCACAACAACAACAACAACAACAAATTTCTCTCACCTCACATTTAGTGCTTCACTCATTTATTCTGCAAAAATTGACAATGTTTTTCAGTCCCTTGTAATATTTTCTTTTCCTTTATTTTTTTCCCTTGAAATCAACTATATTTCTTTTGATCAAAGACTGTATTTTTTTAACTATAAGGTGCACTGGATTATAAGGCGCATTAAGCAAAACAAACAGACGACACTTGAGACTGATCCCTTAACCCAGGCATCCACGATCTATTGGCAGATCGTGGCGTAATTCGCCCGGCGTTGCCTCCCTGTCTTGGTGAATGTGTGTTATGAATGTGAATGTGGGTGGATAAATTAACCTTGGTTTTTTTTTTTTACTTCCTAAGAGAAGAAGACTCAAATATACGTTGAGTAATTATGTGTTTAATGCAGCTTTGTGCACATTTGTTTACATTTTTACAGAAACTAAACTTAAAACCACATGGCTCATTTGCATAAACTCTAAGCTCTGAAAAAAACAGCTCGCTCCTTGTGCACTGATGTGGTTCAGCTTCTGTTGGACTAAAGGACACGACTCAGTAGAACATATGTATTCTTTCTGTGGTAGAGGATGTGCTGCGGATGGTGAGTCTGTTCTGTGCTTCTATCGCCTTGGAGATGGTTCATGTTAAACATTTCAGAGATTATAAGTCTGCAGATCAAACACATAGACCGTATATATGAACAGGAATGGACATATATTCTCTGTAGCATTTCATTGATGTCACAAATGTCAATGCAGAACTGTACTTGCCCTTTACTCCGCGAGGCTCCTGACATTTTGACAGAGGTCAGTAAGCACAACCACAATTCGTACATAAGGCGCAATGGATTATAAGGCACACTGTCGATTTTTGAGAAAATGAAAGGATTTTAAGTGCGCCTTATAGTCCGAAAAATACATAAATGGACATAAGCTGAACCCTGAAGTTTTACACTCACTTTTTTTTTTTTGTAACGGCTGAAGTGAGCTCATCAAAATGTTCGTATTAACCCGCTCTACATGATCCTGGTTTTTTTAGTTTATTTTATTTTGTCTGTTCATAAATTCCTATTCGTAATATGAAACTCAACTCCAAATTCGCTCCTATAACTGCTATCCTAGTGAGCTTCATTTGACTGGAGCCTAACGCTATGGACTTCTTTAGACAGTTTATGGTTTTGATACAAACGAACCATGTGTATCCCTGACTGGCTAATCCACCTGTCAATCGCTTCTATCGGAAAAGTGACCAGACTCACATCTTCGTAAAGTAAACGTGTACTGTATTTTCCAGGCTATTAGAAGCGCTCTTAAGTAGGGGTGTGCAAAAATATCGGAATATCGATATATCGTATCGTTTAATATGATGATACAGTATCGATATCGTGGGCTGCCGTATCGATACATCACCAAGAGTATTTTTAGGTGTGTTTTACTAAATTATTTTGTTACAGTGCTACATTTTTGTTGCTTGTGGAGTGAAAGGAAACTCATTTATGCGACACATTTGACATTTTTACTGTTTTGAGGATTAAAATGTTTGGGTTTCATATGAACTTTTCACAAGAAGTGATTTAACAAAGCCTTTTAGTGTCAGAGCCACGATTTAGCCTTTATTTTTTATTGAACCGTATCGAATCGATTTGAAATATATCATATCGAATCGAAAGTGCACTGTATCGAGATATGTATCGTATCGTGGCCTGTGTATCAAGGTATGTATCGTATCAGCAACTCCTTAATGATACCCAGCCCTACTCTTAAGCCTCCAACCCCATCAAAAAACGACCATGCATCCCGCAATCCAGAGCGCAATATACACGAATCCACTCGGGTGTCCCAGCACGACTTCAGTAAACTACAAAGCCGCACCACCCGCAGAACACGCAAACACACACGGAGCAGACAGCGACCGAACAGCGAAACAAACCCGCAACCAGGCTCATCACTCCACGCCGACGAGGAACAGAACGGAGGAACGAACCGAAAAAGTGAGTCCAATGTGCCTTTCTGAGCCACAACTGAACAACTGAGTCACTGCGAACACACCAACAATCCCAGACAGCACCCTCCCTACACCCCACAACTGAACAAAGCCCAGAGTCACCGTGAACGTGCCAAACAAAGTCCCACTGACCCATCACACTGTTGTGTTTCTGTTAAAGTCCGGTGCGGTTTATTTGTGAAAAAAGTTTGAAAATAGACCATTTAATGACAGTGCGCCTTATAATCCAGAGCGACTAATAGCCCGGAAAATACGGTAATCTGGATCCCATGGCAAGAACAACAGAGATTAAAACAACTTTATATTTGTCATTCATTTATTTACCACAAGGAAATAAGTCAGTGTCAGTGTGTATCTTCAGTTGTTTGTATTTAGCTTCTTGCCGACCCCGCCTCGTATGCTTGTTTACTTCCCGTAGTCGGGTCTAGTGAACCATTCCCGTCCATACAAAGTAATTGCCTTCGCTTTTGAGTCGGCTCGCAGCTCGCTGGTTTTGAAGCGACGGTTTGTGGTTAATCCTCCCCATATACTCCATCACCTAATTGGGCCGTTTGAACCCTCTCTGTCAATATCACAAGTGGGTCATTACAAAGCTGTTAATTAGAAGAGAAGGACCAGTCACCAAGCACACGTCAAAGCGGGAAATCCCTCTTTAATTAGGAGCCGTACTGGAGGCAGCTTCATTTAGATTTAATGTAAATGTCAACAGGGTGCTTATGTGTTCACAGTCAGGACGGTTAGCCTTGTAAAGAGTATGGATAATGAAAAATACATTGATCACCAGCCGTAACATTATAACCACATATTCACAATGATAATGAGATTGTATTTCTCTTAGAGGGGTTAGTATATGGAACAATCTGAGTGATGATTTTAAAAAGTCTAACACTGTAGAAGCCTTTAAAAAAAACAGTACAAAGCATTATGTTTTGAAAGATATAGAGCTCTGGAATGAATGAATTATGCATTAAATTTTGTTAGTTTTAATTTATATTTTGTCCTATATATTCAGTAAGTCATAAGTGAAATTGTAAACGCAAGCTTGCTGTTGTTTCTTTCTTGGAATTCTGTCATTGTTTAAAAGGGTTTGGCATTATAAATACTTTTTACTTCAGCCTAAACCCTTTCGGTCATGATCCATGGGGTTGTAGTCTATGTTTTGTTTTGTTTTGTAGTGCTGCAAAATGACCGAATAAAAACTGCAGGCCATGTAGCAAGAGAAAAATTAAATTCTGTCAACTGAACAAAAGAACTGAAGAAGTAAGTGAAGCTTTTCTTGGACTGGAGTACCACAGACTGTATAAAAACATTAACTCAAATGAAGCTTGTGGTGCTGGTGGTTACAGAGGTGAATTTGGAGTCAGGTTCTACATTATGAATAGGATTTTTTTTTTTTTTGACTGACAAAACAGCTAAATAAAACACCGGGATCATGTAGAGTGAGTTAATGTGAACATTTTAAGATCAAAACGACGAGGTTCACAGCAGCAGTTACAGAGAGAGGAGAGACAGTATTCCAGTGTAAGTCAGTGGGAGTCAGGGTAGTCTGTAGGAGCCAGAAGAGCCCACATGTGAACTTCCAATTTGGAAAGCAGCGGTTTATAATTATAATCATGCGCCATCGGCCACTCTGACCACCACCAGCACTCACGCACACAACACTTTCATACTAGGCAATATGGGTGAAGGGTCTTGCCTAAGGAGACAAGGACAGTTTTTACAACTGACACCCCACTGTGGCATCTGATTTTCCCAGTGGTCTCCCATCCATGTACTAACCAGATCCAGCCCTGCTTTGCTTCTGAGATCTGACAGAAGGTGGTCAAACCGGCTTGGTGGTCATACATTTATATTTTGTCTCTTATATATTCAGTAGGCCAGGGTCATAAGTGAAATTGTAAATGCAATCTTGCTGTTCTTTCTCTCTTGGAATTCTGTCATTGATTAACAGGGTTAGGCATTATAAGTACTTTTTACTTCAGCCTAAACCCTTTTGGTCATGATCAATGGGGTTGTAGTCTATGTTTTGTTTTGTTTTGTTTTGTAGTGCTGCAAAATGACCAAATAAAAACTACTACTGCTATATTAAAGGCCATGTAGCAAAAGAAAACTTCAATTCTGTCAACTGGACAAAAAAACTGAAAAAGCAACTGAAGCGCTACCTGGACTACTGAGAGATTATACAGACATCTAAAAGTACATTTGAGCAAAATTTGTGTTGCCCAAGTACCACAGACAATATAAAAAAGTGAACTGAAGTGAAGCTTGTGATGCTGGTGGTTACAGGAGCGAATTTGGAGCCAGGCCCTGTATTATAAATAGGATCTTTTCGACGGACAAAAGAGCAAAATAAAACACCAGGATCATGTGGAGCGAGTTAATACGAACATTTTAAGATCAAAACGACGAGGTTCACAGCAGCAGTTACAGAGAGAGGAGAGACAGTATTCCAGTGTAAGTCAGTGGGAGTCAGGGTAGTCTGTAGGAGCCGGAAGAGCCCACATGTGAACTTCCAATTTGGAACGCAGCGGTTTATAATAATAATCATGCACCATCAGCCACTCTGACCACCACCAGCACTCACACACACACACACACACCAGTTTCATACTAGGCAATGTGGGTGAAGGGTCTTGCCTAAGGATACAAGGACAGGTTTTTTTTTTGTAACTTTTCCCAGCAATCTCCAAGTACTAACCAGATCCGGTCCTGCTGAGCTTCTGAGATCTGACAGGATTAAAGGTTGTATGGAGGATTTTTTTTTGTTTCAAATTGTCAATGATAGCATTATAGAGGTGCAGTAGCCTTGTAATTATGATGACCAAAAAAAAGAGAATAAAAATTCATCAACTCTGGACGTGGTGGGGCTAAACATTTGCCAATAGATAACGACACTGCCTCGTTATCTGTTAGCTGACAGACTGTCAATCAATCTCCCTACGTTTCTAGCGTAACTGACTTGCCTGCGCGCCGCCGGTACGTGGTTTACATACGCCTGTCACGCAGTCCACAGACGCAAGACGCACAGACGCTGTTTACTCCACCAACGCAACAGTTCTTAGCGGCTTTTTTTTTACCTATATCTTCCTCGCAGTTCGCACAAAGTTTGTTGCAATGGCGACAAGAATCCAGGAGCAGTTAGCCGCAAAAGAAAGTCCGTTTTTGAGGTCGCTGAAAGAAGAAGACAAGGGGAAAAGCAGCGAAGCCAAACTAAGGTGATTCTTGAAGATTCATTCCAGCGATGGCGCAACTGAAGCAGACGCAGGGTCTAAAGACTGATGCACTGGTCGACAAATTACTCCTGGACAGGTCACTTCTGCTTATTATGAAAATGTACTTTATTTCCAAGAGCTAGACAAACGTTTTTCAGGACACGAAAGCGATATCCTATGTCTGAAAACGTAATTTTCAAGGCAAAGAAAGAGTCCGCTTGCTGCTGCGTGTTGTAGCTAAGTTCATTCGCACTGAATCTCCGTGCAACCTTCTCTGCACCCCTTTCCTGCTCCTGTCCCCGCTGCCCGTTCCGCTCTTCCCCCTGCTCCTCACTTCTCCGGGCACGGAATCTCCGCGCACCGCTCCCCTCTCCTCCTCTCTCCTCTCCCTACTCCCTGCTCCGCTCTTCTCCCTGCTCCTCACTTCTCGTCCGCGAACGAAATGTCCGCACACCCGCTCCCCCCGCTCCTCACTTCTCCGTCTTGCCTAACCAACACTGTAGTTAGTTGTTTACAAGTCATGTGCAGCACCGGCTGTAAACAAACCTGTTTCTGGCGTAAAGAGGAGGCGGGAGGAGGCGTTTCTACGTAGGAGCTGTAGGGGAGGGGGGGTGGTTTCACGCATGCGCAACATTTGAAAAAGGACAAACAGTCGCTGGATTTCTCGTTCCTTGGAAAATCCTCTATACAACCTTTAAGCTTTGGCCACGAACAAGCCGGTATGGCCACAAGCAGCTCCTAAGGCCAAAACTTGTGTATAAATATTCATTGATTATTGCCTGCTGTTTGCATATAATCATTAAAGGCTTAACTGTCCTATAATCAGGAAGTGAAAATTCGCATGCTAGTTGTTGTTTGCTTTACTGCCAGGGCATACCTCTGCACCGGTCTATGAGAGATGTGAACAGCTCTGATAAACTCATTACGGTGAATTAGGATGCTCTGAATGTATGAGGTACAGTAAGTGATTTAATAGCTCCGTCACCAGGGGCTGTGGATGAAGCCGGCTTTTGTTCAGTCTAGTGTAGAGCATTTTTCTTTTGGGAAATAAAAATGTTTGAGCTTGGTCTCTAAAAGAAATGAAATCAACTAAACTCTGACGAAACTGGGCGGTCCTCAAAAAGAAGTTACTATCTGGAAAACAAGATGAGAAAAACACTTCAAAATATAAACCCTGATAGTTTATATTTTGTGAAGTAAATTTTTAAGTAAATTAATGAATTCTGAAAGCATTTTACTTAATAAAATATATTTTCTGGTCGACTAAAACTATGGCTTTTGTTGACTTGGTGCACTGTGTAACTTTTCTGATGGAGAGTCTGTCAGATGTTGTTGCTTTGTCTGGAATGTTTCACAGTGTGATATTTAACCTTTCTATCATCATGGAGACCAAACCGGACCAAGTTACAGGTCAGATCTGTGGAGACTTGAGAGGCAACTCCACTCACAGTTCGAATTCTTGTTTTAGGCATTTTTGAGCTATAAAACCATCTGTAATTTAATAAATGTAAGACAGAGCTTTTTAATGTCATACTGTGGAACATTTCAGGCAAAACAATGACATATCCATAGAAAGAAGCAGGTGACGGACGCTCCAAAAGAAAAGTTACACAGTGCACCTTTAGAGCCACAGTATGTAACCTTTTAACCAAAAAATAGACTCAAATAGAAGCATGTTTTTTCAATCTTGTTTGAGTTCTTTGCACTGGACGAGCTGTATCCTCTCACCAAGGCCTGTGTATGGAAGCTGGCTTTGGCTCAATCTTTCTTTTGTGAAATAAAAATGTGTGCCTTCGGTCTCCAAAAGAAATTTAATCAACTAAACTGAAACCTCTGACCGCCGGTGAGTAGGCAGTTTTTCCATGGTTACACAATAATAATCACAGATAGGTACGTATTGTCCGGCCTTGTACTCACGTTGGTCAGCTTCCTCTTGCCCCTCTTGTGGAACAGGCTGGTCAGATGGTGCACTATGGTCTGGCCTCGGTGTCGGACCTGTGCGAAGTGTGAGCGGTGAGTTTTCCTGCTCTGGTGAACGGCGTCAGACAGACCTGAACACCACCAAATACATCAAAACAGAAAAAAAATCAATAATTGTGTCCAAGGTGAAAGAACTATACACTGTAAAACTCTCGAACTGTTTATGTAGTGATAACTGTTTTAGTTTCATTACTTATGTTGAGCCTATTGGGGTTTTAGACTAATCTATTTAAAATGTATGCTGAATTAAGTTAAAGCCCCACTGTGAAACTTTTTATCTTGAATATAGACTACCATTTTCTGAGCGATCTTGCATATCCACAAAAACCTGACTCCTTCTTGGCCTGGAGATGGAGCTTCCATGGAAATGTTGTTCGACAATATGGCAGAAAACTCATCTATGACTACGTTCAGACTGCAGGGCTTAACGCTCAATTCCGATTTTTTTGTAAAATCCGATGTTTTTGCGAGGTCGTTCACATTTCCAATTAAATGCGACTTGTATGTGAACTCCAGTGTGAACAGTAAAACGGCCCCGAAAGTGTCCCACATGTGCACTGGAGGACACGATGACGTCATCCACAGCGAGCGTGCTCTGTGTTTATGGAAGTTGTCCAAACATGGACGCGAGCATTGAGCACCTGGAGATTTAAAGTTCCTCTCGTACCGGAGCCAGAACATGAACAATTTACTTGTTTTAAGGAGGAGATTGAGAAGGAGAAGGACGAGGTTTTTGGTCGTGGTGTTTTGTGGGACAGCGGCAGCGACGTCCGTTGAAAGGAACGTGTGGATGTGGAGACGTAGCCAAGAGTGGTGAGTGGTGATGTGCTTCACTTCAGTCACACAGAGTTCATTAACAATTTTCGCCTACTTCAGCGCAGAATAGTGACGATTGTGTCTTGTTGATAACGTGTAGGTCGGATGAATGCACTTTGGCCGTTCAGACTGAAGTCACATGTCAAAAGATCAGATATGTATCAGTTTCAGGAGCACATATCCAAGTGGCCTGGGTCACATTTGAAAAAATCATTAGTCATTAAAAGATGAGATACAGGTCACATAGGGGCCAAAAAATCGGATTTGGGTCACTTCAGGCTGCAGTCTGAACGCAGCCTTTGTCCATTAAAAATGTTCCAAAGTTTGGTTTTAAATAAAGTGGAATCAGACGAAGGGACGTGCCATACCTCAAGAAAGTTACATGGTGTTGCTTGAAATTGTGTTTAAGCAAATATTTGAGCAATTTTAACTTTTAGACGATTTAGATCAAACCAGAAATAAATTTGCTGTGTTCTTTTCTCAGTGACCTATATACACAGAGAAAGTTTCCAGTCTCACCCTCTGTCTCTGGGTAGTGGTGGCTCTTCCCAAATGAATCGCTCACGTCTTTGAAGGATAAAAGGTACAGAACCACGTCGCCTTTTTCATTTTTGATTGGGACGATGTCCAGGAGGCACCAAAACGGATTCCCTGTGAACATCACACGGTTAAAACATTTCACTTACTCAAAACAAACCAGGGCAAAGTCAAATGTGATTTGATTTTGAGACATTTCAAATAACTGTTCTTTCCAGTTGTTTCTGGAAGCAAGGTAGTTATGCAGTTTTAGCATCTTAAGTCCTGAAATGTATCATTTGCAGTAGTAGCCGTATAATCCTCCTGGCACAAATTAAGTTTTTGGACAAAATAAGTAAAAATGTACAATTTCTGAGAAAAATAAATTTCTACCAAAAACAGTCCCACATTTTGGCTGGATGTGAAATAGATCCAAAAACACTGTATTTAAATGTGAACAGGTTGTTTTGTACAATTGGATTGAATGTGTATATCTATTTTTAGAGTTATCATGCAATTTAAGAAAAGGGTTGCTTAGTTAAAGGGTTCATAGTTAAACATCTTGATTTCTATTAGTCAGACAATTTTATTTGGTCAGACAATTTCACCTGGAACTCTCCAGCTCCACTGGGCAGGAAACAACAACATTATTTTCAAAGAAAGGTTATGAGACCAGTGTGTTGTTTACTCAAGCAGTGGTATGTTTTGGATGCCTTCTGCATCCTTCTTAGATGGAAGACAACAAATGTTAGATTAAGAAGGCTACTGAGCTCCTGAAACAAGTCCAACAAGGACAGTGAACAGGGCCGAGGGGCCATTCAACTTTCAATGTCCTTGGATGCTGTCCTGGACAAGGTGAACTCAGATGGAGACTGCCATTCTCTGTGTAAATCAGCTAAAACATGTCACCATAACATCATGTTATCCTTCTGAGGAAGGCTGTAGAAAGCATCCGATACATGTCAAGGTCTGTGTACACACAACACTGGTGTGTTAAAAATAACCACCTTTATTTGGAAAGGAAGCAAAAACGGCTGATATGACACATGTCACTGAGACCAGAGGCAGTGGTGAAGCAGGAGCTCACAGCTGGAACATGTCACAGTGAACACATCGTGCTGATGAAATTATCTGTTAGAATTCAACATATTAAACTGAAGACAGTTAGATGAATCCAAAGGAATATTTTGGTCAAATTAGACTGGGATTAGTACAGCATGACCATACTGCCAGATTATTAGTATCCTTCATAACGTCTGGATCAGTGACCATCATGTATAATCCCTGTATAAGTCTGTACCATTCTTCCTGTAGAAGCAGACGTGAGCCTGGTACTCGTGCTGTCCGCTCAGGGCCTTCTCGATCTGCTGTACCACACTGTCACTGGTCTCTGCTCCATGAAGGAAACTACAGGAGCAGGTCTTCTGCATCACCTCCGTCCTCACGAACCCCGTCAGCTCACAGAAACCATCCGAGCAGTACACAATGGGGTAACCATGACTACCCTGGGCGTTCCCCAACAAGAAGTTACTATCTGAAAGACAAGATGACGAAACATTTCTAAATATAAGCAGTGATTTGCAAATTAACAAACTAATTGGAAAAAGTAAATGAGAAAAGTTTGAACTTCTTTTACATGCCGTCATAATATATATAATAGGAATTCTACTGGTTTTACCATTTTGTCCTGAATAAAAACAAAAAAGGGATCATATATTCCAAAGTATGGTTTTATATTTCCTTTTATATTACTTTTTATACTTTTATATTTCCCTGGTGCCACCTTTAGAAAGTTACACTGTACCTTTGATTAGCAAGGCATTTTTGTCAACTAAAAAAAATAATTGTTTGAATAAATCTTGTCAAAAGACTAAAAATTAAATAAGACCTTCTTGTCAAAACAAACACTGCTTGAAATTAAGGAGCTGCTTTTTAATTTGTCTCATTTTTCACTGACTCTCTTCCAACTGAGCCCCTGCTGGCTTCTCATTAATTACTTTAACTCTAAAAATTGTGCTTCTACTAGGAGGAATACGCATAGCTGAGAATAAAAAGGACCAAAACTTTTTACAATTTGCTCCTTTGGTCTATTTGAACAGTGTACATGGCAAAATATCTGAAAACGCAGTCATGGTAGTGGGGTTTGACTGGCTGATATGCGACAGTTTTGATGTCCCTGGTTGAATTTCCCCGTTAACGCCATGGCCTTTCTTTTGATAATCATTCAAGAAATTCAGAAATTGTACTTGGCATGGCTGCCCCTGCGCAGATCAGAGTGGGCTTTGAAGTATAGCTAGAGGTGAGTTGCCAGATAAGAGTAAATATAGCGGCTTCGTGGGGCTCCAGTCCAGACACGGTGCAGCCTAATTAGACCATCAACGCTTTGTTTGTATTGGAGGTTTTCAAATCCGAGAAAGTGGTGAAGCCATACTCTCCGATGGTTGATACTTTGCAGCTGATGTGGAGGTGTTACGCTAACTGAAAGCACTGCTCTGTCTGAAGATCTGTTACTCACTTACTGCTTTATTTTACCTAAACAAAAAATAATTTACGCCTCTCTCTACTGTTAGCAGGTATCAGATTTGTCAAAAAATAAGGACATTTCTTGTATAAAACTGGGACAAATGATAAATCTGCTGGGACAGGGGACACAGGGCTCAAATCTGGGTCTGTCCCCTGTAAATAGGGGCGTCTGGTCACCCTACCATGCGCTCATATTGATCACAGGCTCGAGAAAATGCACTGTTGAAATCCATTTTGTATTCTTTGAGTTTATGGACTATCTTAAAACCTTTTTGTTGTTTTTTGCTAATGTGTGCACTGTGTCACCATGGAAAATGCTGAACATTCTGCCTATAGAAATGCATTATAGAACACCCAGGTCAATCAATTCTTGTATACTGTATTTTTTAGGACTATAAGTTGCACTTTTTGTCATGGTTTGGGTGGTCCTGCGACTTATACTTTGGTGTGACTTATGTATCAAAGTGTTCACACTGACAGCCTCTGGGGGCGCTCTAGGCTTCTGTGCCAGTGTCTGCTATTCCTATTACTCCTGTACCACTGTCACTTGGCTCTACTGCACATGTCTCCTCCAGAAAGTCTCCACATGTCTCCTCTGTTCTCTCTGTATCATGTCAGTTGATCTCACCATGACTTCTGTACCACTGAAAATTTTAATATTTAAACTAATTTATAAAGACATCTGAGAAGACTGAACACAAATGCCCCAAAAAGAAAATCAGATTTTGCACATTAGAAGATGCAAGTGGTGAAATTTGCAGCCGAAAATAATAATCGAGCAGCCGAAAGAAAGTTTGGAGTGAGCGAGAAACTTGTTGCAACCGTGAGGGTGCACCATGCAACTTTCCTGGAAGTCACTTAATGAAGCCTGGACTTCAGTGACAACCGAAACCGTCCTGTTGGGATTCAGAAACACCGGAATAATTCTAACTGGAACTGATGCTGAGTCTGGCGACAGCTACACAAAAGAAGAAGTGGTGCTCTGTTAACATCTGGAGGTCACAGAGTTGGTCAGAAGTGACACTGAGGATGAAGAATTCAATGGATTTAGTGATTTGGAGTGAGATCGAGAATTTGGTAAAGTTGTTCTGTTGTTTATGTTATAGTTCTCTGAATAACTGTTCGTATGTGACGTTAACAGCCTGTTGTTCTCTGTTCTATTGTTATTACTATAACTTGCCTTGCCTATAAAATAAATTACCCCTAAAAAGTGCGACTTATAGTCCAGTGTAACTTATATATGTTTTTTTCTTCTTTATTATGCATTTGTTGGTTGGTGCGCCTTATACTCCAAAAAATACAGGTCATTAAAGGGGCTGTACCTAATTTTTAAAGTGTCTTCAGAATGTGAAAGAGGTTCCTTCTTACTTCATAAAAGCTTTTCACAAATCTCAAAAACAGGGTAAAGCTAAACACAAATAGCAATTCCTGATTCACAATGCTTTCTAATTAGATTCAGACAGTACACAGAGACAGCAGACATATTTTGACCTCAAGAGCTGCATATATCTGTACCAGGTCTACATAGGGAAAAACAGATACAGGACCTTTAGTTAATAAATACTTATATGGCATATGGTATTAATTAAGCAGTTACCCAGGAGTAATCATTCTAAATAAATAAAACAAGTTTTAGTTCATGCTTAAATAACAGTATTGATTGAAAATGTAGTTATTAAAAGCTGAAACCTATGAACAGAATGTTGCGATGCCTTTTGAAAAGCATCTATCTATACCAGAATTCTATGGCCAGTACAGACAGACTTCACTTCTTTTACTGTAAATACACGTTCAGCCACTTTTATTTAGGGTTAATGGTTCAGTAAAAGGTACAAAAAGCGAAATGTGGCTTTTATCGCTAATGAAAAAATGCCAAGGCTGGTGTTAAAACAGATGAGGAGTGATGGAAAGATTTGTGTTAGGAGAAGAGATTACACAAGGCTCAGCACGGAGGAGAGGCAGGGTCAGAGGAGTGGGTGGAAGAGGAGAGGACAGAACATGGCTAATGATCCTGGTCTGAGCTGCTATACTGTCTCACATGTTCAACTGCAGGCAATTTATTCTGTGAAATGGGTTAAAATGTGGATGAAAAGTAGATATGGGTAAAGGTGCCGTGTGTAATTTTCCCGGTGGAGTCTGCCGCCTGTTTGTCTCCATGGAGATGTTATAGTTTCTCCACATAAGCCAAGTTAACAAATCATGTCATTGCTTGGTCTGGAATGTCCAACAGTATGGTATATTAAACTCAATCGCCATGGATACAAGCACCAAAAAAAAAAATATAGGTCAGATCTGTCTAAAGAAATCTAAAGAAAGAGAAGCACGGATGAAAAGTTTTGGCACAGTTGTCTTTGTAACGAGCCAGGTTTTGTTTTGTTTTTAAGAAATGTAAGATATGTGATTTGATTCTTTACAAATATTTCATCATCAAAAACTGAAAAAACAAACCACATTAGTTTTCTCAACTCTTCTGCCTCCATCTTTGAAGTTGCTGTTGAAAGAACATGTATATTGTTATTGTATTCATTGTGCTAAAAGCGAGGACTAAATCAGGACAAGGACTAAACCAGGACTAAAGGAACTAAACCAGGAAAACTAAACCAAGACTAAACTAGGATTAAATAAATCAGGACTAGGACTAAACCAGGATGAAACCATTACTAAAGTGGGACTAAACCAGGACTGATGTAAGAATAAACCTTGACTAAAGTGGGACTAAACCAGGACTGATGTAGAACTAAACCTGGACTAAAGTAGAACTAAACTAGGATTAAATGAGGACTAAATCAGGACAAGGACTAAACCAGGACTGAAGCAGAACTAAACCAAGACTAGGATTAAATAAATCAGGACAAGCACTAAACCAGGATTAAATCATTAATAAAGTAGGACTAAACCAGGACTAAACCTAACCTAAACTAAAGGACTAAAGTAGAACTAAACCAGGACTCAACCTGGACTAAAGTAGGACTAAACGTGGAATAAACCATTACTAAAGTGGGACTAAACCAGGACTGAAGTAGGACTAAACCAGGACTCTACCATTGCTAAAGTAGACTAAACCAGGACTACACCTTGATTAAACCTTGAAAACCTGGACTAAAGTAGGCCTAAACGTGGAATAAACCAGGACTAAACCAGGACTAAAAACTCTTCATAAGAGCAATGACATATTAAGAAATTAAATGGGGCTATATATTATTACACTTTTTTATATCTTAGGACAATCTTGGTCAGTTCCATTCATCATTACACATTTTCAGACCTAATATTTACAGATTTATTATTTTATTTGATTTTATTTGCAATAAATACTAAACTGCTGCTACAAAAAAATAGTTTAAGGTCTAACAGAATGCAGAAGAGTGTAGTTTTGTTGTATTCTCTTGAACAAACAATCAATTAACTGCTCACTTGGTAAAAAAAATAAAAAATAAAAATGAAACCAAATGAATTAATTCTATTTACAGATCCATGCACGCGAAGGCTGTAGATGAGTTGAGTGTTCAGAGCTTTTTGTAGGAAGAGAAAAGGCAGTGACAGAGGATAAAAGATGACTCAAACAAACCTGAATGAATCTAAACACATAACAGGAATAATATTTGTTTTGGTTTGTCTCTCCCATTATCTCCTGTACAGACAATACTGAGCACCTGCCCCTGAGTCGCCTTTACATTTACATGTGTATTTAAACAGACGTCCAGGGACTTTTCACCATGTGGCGGCTTTACGTTTAAACAGATGTGTTGCTGCTGCTGCTGTTTTTAATCTGGCGAGAAACTATAAACAGAACAAAATTTTCACTTGTCAGTTGCCATAGCGATTGGCGTGAAAGAACGGTGAAAAAAAAAACATATGGCCGCTCTGCAATTTGCACCTACGGGGTTAGTGTGACTGTGAACTCTTCCGCTGCCAGAGTTTGTACATCATATTTTGTTTGCAGCATTTTAATGAGCAGATTTCAGTTAACTGTGTATTTGAACATATTCACACAGTTAGTCCAACAACTAG